TATCTCTAACTTGTCTACTTATCTAATTAGTGTGGAGATCTTTCCATTCCTGACTACTTAACACTAATCATATCGGTAATTATAAAATTATAACAATGCAGAAAGAAATCTGGACCTAGATCTGAGGTAGAACATTATTGAGAGGAGAGAATGGTTACCTTATCATCTTTTGCCCCCAATATCGCTAGGTTATAAGATTTCAGCCTGGAGAAGAAAAGGTGAGGACGATCATACAGCTTTCCTCAAATAATCAAAGGGCCTGGGTATGGATAAATTATTAGGCCTGTTCCTGTTGGCTCCGGGGGTAAAACCAGGGCCAATACTAAGATTTCAGTTATACAAAAAAGTAATGGTGAGTCTCTGAACAATGACACCAGTTCCCTCCATGGAGGTGACTCTCCTGCCGCTGGAGAGGTGCAGGCAATGTCTGGACACCCCCTGCCAGGAGCCTCGGCCTCCACACTGGAAACACCAAGCAAGATAGCCTTTAATGTCCCTTCCAACTCCAATGGTTTTGGTTCTGAGAATCTGACCTGCAGTGTTTGCGATGGCCTCCTCGCCTGTCCCCACTGCTTCCTCTTTATTGCCCCTGAATCACTATGTTCAGAATCACTATGGGCAGCAAATCCACCAGGATCTCCTCCACGAGTCTCATAAGAGGAAACCCAGCAATAGAAGATGTCAGGTCCTTGACTAGTAATCCATGGCTGCAAATGGGCTCTGCTTCTTTCCTCCATCCTCACGCTCCTTTTTCCTTATGTTTCCTGCTCTTTTCTCTCTTCTACTCACTCCCTGTTTCTATTCCTTCATCCTTCTTAGTTCTTGTTTTTCCTTCAATCTTTTGCTGCCTTTTTATTTGTTTCCATTTCTCCTTATTTTCCTCCCTCACATTGTCTGTTTTCCTTTTCAAGTGGTAATGCTCAGATTTGATGGTTTCTGGGGGGATTGCTCTGCATATAACTCAGGGGAAATGGGAATTCCTTTTCTGGCCCTCTGTTTCAGGGAAGAGGTGTAGAGAGTTTCAGGGACGCCACTTTGAAGAGGGATATCGGTGAATGAAGAAGAGTCTTGGGAACCAGCAGGAAGATGAAGCCAGTAAGAGTAACTGGGAGCAACAAAGTCTGTTGGTCCCATTTTTCATCCCTTGAGTGGTCCTTAAACTGTTGGCCATGCCTAAGGTTTTCAATTTAAATGGTAAATTTTTTGACCTGTGATATGAGGCTTCAAAAATTTCTAACATTTGGAAAGTTAAGATGACAGACCATTTTGTGAGAACTTAACATCCTTTTGTAGTACTATTTATAAAATGAGTCCTATTAAAAATATAGTTGGATTCTAGAACATGACTCACATTTGGTCACATTATGTTTATCAGACTGAGCAGGAGACCTAGAGTAAAAATCATACCTGGAATTCTAAATTATAGTGCTAAAGTGAAGTTGCTTTATTTGGTCCACTAAAAAGTTCTCTTATGGGAAATTTGGCAAACTCTTTCATTGTGTAACACAACCCAGCATAGTGACCACACCGGTATTATTATCCACATGTGTACCACACAATATACAGCTAAGCCTGAAAAAGCAGAGACAGGTGCACTGTATCATACCTGGCAGGCATTTCAAAACGTAGGATGTCTTGAACAGTGGAAAGCATGTATTTATTCATTTCTTTGGGAAGCTCCCCAATAGAGAGCAGGATGTTTTTTACTTCCATGTAGGATGGATTGTTATTTAAAATGATAGCAGCTGCGGTGGTGCGCACGGTCTTTTCATGAACTTTGCGATTCTGATGGTATATCCTGTTCAAAGTCTTCTTCACCTGTTCATAAGATGTTCAAATTTATTAGTGCATATCTAGGCTTTTAAAATTGACATTGCAGCAGACATAGTTAGTGCTCTTAAAATACACATTTCCCAGGTTCCTTTGCTATTAGGTAGGGGCCAAAGTTCTGCTAACAGGTCATAAACAGAATCACTTTGGGTAGTTTCTAGGCTGAGGCACTCAAGAGCTGGTACACCATCTCCATCTCTTTTGTTTCACTATTGTAGTGAACTTTGGGCCACAATTTCCTTTACCTACATTAGACATAGCATGAATGAGAAATACATTTTTGATAAGCTAAGATTTTTTTTCAGAGAGGAAGGGAGAGAGAGAGAGTGAGAGAGAGAGAGAGAGAGATGGATTGGCTGCCTACCGCACAAGGTTCGATCAGGAATTGAACCTGCAACCTGGGTATTGAACCCACCACCTTCTGGTGTACAGGACGACACTCCTATCAACTGAGCCACTGGCCAGGGCAAGCTGAGATTTGTAATTATAGCAGATCATGATGTTGCCTAACTAATATAGATTTTTTTAAAGATACTACCACCATGTGGCAATGGGGCTCAGGGGAGAGATGGCTACATGAACCGATATTTCCTTACAATGAAGTACCTAAGAATCTTCCTTTCTCCTTTAAAAAAATTACACTGTAATAATCTTTCTTTTTAGAACAATTTTAGGTTCATAGCAAACTTAAGCTGAAAGTACAGATAGTTCCTATATACTCTTGCTCCTCATCTGCACCCCCCCTCCCCATCCCACACAACCTCTCCCTCTATTCTATACCACAGTGGTCCATTTGTTGCATTTGATGAACCTATATTGACACATCATTATCACTGAAAGTCCATTGGTTACATTAGGGGACTTAAAAAACAAAAACATTAACACCAAAGAAAATCTGCCAATGTATTTACATTCTGTAGCAACAAATAATTCTGCTGGTTACAAGCACTGCCTAATCTTACACTGTGTGTGGTATTCTGTACTAGGCATTTATAAATATTTCTTTCAATGTCTTTTACTATTTCTCCCACATGTTGGCCTTGTTTTTGGGTATAAAGGAGTTAAGTGACTCACTTAAGCACAAACAACTAGGAATGGACAAAGCCAGATTTTATATGTAGGTCTGTATGTCTCAAATGGCCCTGACCTTAACCATCACATTTTTGAAAAAAAAAAAAAAAAAAAAGTTACACAAAACCAATGGAAAGATGTTTATCTGAAAATTGGAAACATCATTCTCAACAGGCAGTTTAGCTTGGGGTTTATAAACATTCTCTGCCTTAATAAAAGTTTAATTTAGATAGCTGCCTGAAAATGTAGCTGTAGACACCAATACTTAAGGAAAGATATTTCAGTGTCAAAAAATTTAACAGCATCTTAAAATTTATAGAAATAAAGGTATTTCTGAAAATACTTTCTTTTTCTTTTTATAATACTCACTTGACGACATGCTTTTTTATCAATTTCCAAAGAGAAAAGGAGAGAGGGAGAGAGACAGAGAGAGAGAAACATCAATGTGAGAGAGAAACATAGATCAGTTGCATCCCATATGTGCCCCAATCAGGGATCGAACCCACAACCTAGGTATGTGCCCTGACTGGGAATTGAACCCACAACTTTTTGGAGCAAGGAGATGACACTCCCACCAACTGATATGCGGTCAGGGCAATACTTAGTTTTTTTTTAAGTAAAAGAATATGCTTTAATATTTATGCTTCAGGATATAGGACATTTTTCTATTCAAAAGGTGAGGCTGCTTCAGCATAGCCTTAAATCCAATTTAAGAGGCATTTCTAAACAGAAAAGAGAAATTGGTAGTTTGGGAAAAAAATAGGATGACTTCAAAGGCATCTGCATTTTACTCATATTTAGATATGCCCTTTTCCTTTTGTGACTTTTCCCAACATTCTTGGAGACTTTACCTCATCCGTTATGAAAGGGACATCATATCTCTGGAGAGTGGTGGTAGCCAGGTGGCTGATGGGCCCTTCTCCTGTCTCCGCATACTTGAGGAGGATCGGGATGCCTTCTGGGAGCAGGGCATTCTTCAGAGCCAGCAGGTACATCATGATGTCCTCTTTTTTCTCTGGTTTTTCCAATCCTCCCAGGATTAATTTCTTAGCTTCTACCACTCCCTAAAAAATCACATATTGTTTCAGACATATGCATGGCCATACATTAAACAAGGCTTGGGCATGACTGGCTTCACTCTTAGGCCCAAGAAAACAACTTGAGTATTAGAAAATTTTGCATTGGTTTCATGACTGAGGCGCACAGTGAAAATGAACAAGTAAAGCTTGACAAAGGTGCTCTGGGGTCTTTTCTTTACATGTATTCGTTAACATATTTTTAGAAAGCCATGAGTATAATAGTGGACATAGTACCTTTTGAACATATTCTGAATGTACAAAGTCATTTAAGAAATTCCCTTGATTAATTATTCATAAAACTGCCTACTCATTGAATTTTTGAAGCAACAATTAGATGGTGCCTAAGAGGTAACAGTTTTCTTACGTAAAAACTTTGGTGAAAATATTTACTACTTGACCGTAGGTCTTTTCTAAATGTTTAAAAAGTGCTTGTTTCTGCTTTACTTCATATTTATTAATGCTGCCATACAGTTACAAAATATTTCTCAAGTGCCTCCTACTTGGCATGTACTTTGCTAGGTACTTTTCAAATATGTTCTTTAAGCAGAAAATTCCTTTTTCCCTGGCCTAGAAATATAGGAATTGAGTACAAGTTAATAATTTAATGGAAAACCAAAATAGGGACCTCTGGGTTTATCTTTGCTACTATGTATGTTTTAGGGCTTCAGTTTCATCATTAAAATAAAGATTCCTAAGTCCTAATCATCTATAGGATTTGTAAACTCTGAAATTGGGCTGCAGGCACACGCAAAAACAAACACACATGCACAAACCAGGGTGGGGGCAGGAGGTGAGGGGCTAGAGGAGACATAAAAGGTCTCTGACTAGAAGGAAAGATACTATATTTTCTCTATGCCGATTACCTATGCCAACTATCAGACTGATAAAAACACACTAAAAAGTTTGACAACATACTTTGTTATTGATGTTGTGGGGAAATAGGTATTAACATACATTGCTGCTAGAAGCATAACATGATATGACTCTTATAGAGGATAATTTGGCAAAAGCTAACAAATCTGCATTTTGATCCTGAAGCTACAGTTCCAACAATAAGAAAAAGAAATGTACCTAAGATTATTCATTTTAGCATTATTTGTAATAACAAAAGAGTGGAAACCACCTAACAACCACACATAAGAGACGCTGCATAAACTGTGCTACATCAACACAATGGAGTGCTAGACAGTTGTAAAAAAGAAAGAGGAAGATCTCTCTTAAACCACACGGGGTGATTTTCAGGACATACAGTTAGTGAAAAAAAATAAGGTAGGAGAAAGTGTATACAGAGCGCTATATTTGTGCAAGAAAAAGGAAATGACAATGTGTGTGTACATCTGCTTACTGTTGCACAGAGAAACACAGGAAGGAGAAACCAAAAACTAATACTACTACTTATGTAGAGAAGTTGGTGAGCATGGGTGGAAGAGAATGAGACATATATATTTTGTGCTCCAGCTCCACCGAATTTCTCACTGTTCCCAAGTATACCAGGCACATTTTGACTTTGAGCCTTTTCATACATAGCTGTTTTTTTCCTAGAATGTCCGTTATTCTATACTACCATCTCTTTACCTACAGAGCTCTTCTTGACTAAGCTCAAATATTAATTACTTTTTGGTGAAACCTTCCCCAGCAGCCCAAACAGAATAGTTTGTTACATCTTCTGTATTCTTAAAGCACCCTTTTTATATTTCAATATTATTGTATTTATCTGTTTGTGTTTAATAAACAAACTAGTTATTTGAAGATAGTAGAACATTTTATGTGTCTTTACATTAAGGGACTAGCATCATACCTAGCACAGAGTAAATGCTCATCAAATACTACTGGATGGATGTTTTTATATGTGAGTTTTGTCTTTAGACAAGATATTTGATATATTATTGCTGAAGTATATAATCTACTCAAATAATTGTGGATAATATATAATAAGTCACAGTTCTTTAATATCATAAAAATTATACAAATTTGATTTCTGTCAGATCTTAATAAGATACTCAAACATTTTCAATACCATTTTCTGTGATCTTTTCAAAACTCATTTACATTCTAGTTATGAGTTGTCTCTTTTGGAACTATTTTGTTTTAAGAACGTTCTCTTTCTATTGTTTTTATAGCAAGTACTCAGTAAGCAAAATAGTATGGTGATGTCTTTTGAAGATAGAGGAAAAATGCTGACTGGAACCTAACTAATCTAATAAATGTAGACAGAAAAAAAGACTATGTTTTTATGTATTCAGCATCTTTAATCTATTTACACTATAGAAAGATGGGCTATGTTGGATAATAATCCATTTGGATTTTCCATACTTAGCTATGCTTACAAAGTGAGTGTTTTATTTTAATGAGAAAGACATTAAAATTGATAGTCCACTCAGGCAAGTGAAGAAGCTTTGAGAAAATGAAATTAAAAATAAGATGTAAAGTCCTCAGTAAATAAAGGTAAATAATTTCCACCATCAAAACTCAAAACCGTAAACCACAATTACTGCTCTAGGAGAGAGCCCTAGAGTCTAATATTTTTCTAATAACTAGAACTAAACCCTACATATTGTTCAAAACTGAGTACACAGTGGGCACGTAATAAATACAAATGGATGGGGGATTAATAAATGATTCACTTTTTAGCAAGCATTTATTGAACATTATCTATGTACTAAATACCATTTTCAGCAACTGGCATTGAAAAAAAGGAAGATCCAATTCTGCATGGAGCTTACATTTCAGTGGGAGACAATAAACGTAATAAACAACTGAATTGTAAAGTGTGTCAGATGGCAATAATGGCTATGCAAACAGAGAAAGTAGAGCAGGGTAGAGGGGGTTAGGAGTAGCAGTGGTGGGCAGCATGTGAGTGTTACATAGGATGGTCGGAGCTGCCTAGGTAACACGTGAGATGGGATTCACACTTACTTTGAGTTTGCAGCCATCGCTCTGACACAGCTTCCTGACGAGGGCCCCGATGGTGATCATAACACTTTCTCTGATGTCATTGCTCGCAAAGGAACCTTTGAACTTACTCTATTAGCCAAAAAGGGATAAAATAAGTTATCAAACTGTTTAAACATTTCCAAGGGATATTTTTTTTTAGTTAAGAAATAAAGTAACCAGTGCCTGAGGAAATTACGTTACTAGATTGCAAACTCCCCTTTCCAGATATTCTTAACGTTGGTCTATGAACCCAGTGATGGCGAACCTATGACACACGTGTCAGAGGTGACACGCGAACTCATTTTTTTTGGTTGATTTTTCTTTGTTAAATGGCATTTAAATATATAAAATAAATATCAAAAATATAAATCTTTGTTTTACTATGGTTACAAAGATCAAAAGATTTCTATATGTGACACAGCACCAGAGTTAAGTTAGGGTTTTTCAAAATGCTGACACGCCGAGCTCAAAAGGTTCGCCATCACTGCCTAGAAGTTTATGGATTAGATTCACTGGTTCAGTGAACAAAAACAAACAAACAAAGGCCTGTAAAATTTTATGCATGGGTGTAAAGGAGCTTCGTTACTTTTATCAGATTCTTAAATAGACCCATTTTCCCAAAAGATTATGAACTGTTCGATTAGATCATAAGTGGGTAAATGTACATAAGGAAAAAAAATCTTGGGCCCAAGAGAAGTCTAGCTTTTATTTCCAATGTAAATTGTTTAATATCAGAAGACTGGTATCTCTTCAACATACTGTGTATTAAATACCATGGAGATCTCTGAAGTCAAAACAAATATTTTAAAATAAATTTTTGAATTAACCAAGGCTTCTCCCCTCTGAAATTTTGTATTATATGATTGGTAAACACAGTCCTTAAATTTCTGTAAAGTATACTTTGTTATTTAGAGGAATTGCAAAGAAGACACTATGAGATAATTTACTATAGAGTTAATAATTAATGAATAAAAATAGTTGAATAGAATTTGAATATGAATAAATCAGAAGGCTCTTGTTCTGCCTCCATTCTGATGCACACAACTTTTAATTACTGCTTCGATTGCTGAGAGCTTTTTAGTGGTGAGAGCCTTCACTTTCCCAGTGTCCATCTGACTTACAATGAGGGCTCTCAGGAGTTCTTCGTCGGGATGGGAGGCAAATCCGCAGGCATAGAGAAACCTCTCCTGAAGGATAACGTTACTGCTACTTTTGAAATCCAAAAAGTCCAAAATCGCATCCAATGAGTCTGGGGTCTGAGCCGAGGTGACAGCATCCACCAGCTGCGGTCTATAAAAAAAGGCATCGTTACGGATGTCAATGTTTAGGGGGCTCACAGAACTGTTTAAAATCGCTACCATTTACAGATTCTCCATTGGTTTGAATTTCCTAAAGAAGTGAACATTTTTTTTTATTTGTTTTGTTTTCTGCAGGGTTTTTTTTGCATTCTTAAAATTTTTTATTTTAAAGAAAATCGATTTTAAATATAATAATGTTACATGCAATAAACATTAACATTTCAAGAAAAATGATTTTGAAAATAATAATACTGCATACAATAAAAATTAATATTTCAAGAAAAAAGGATTTTAGGTATAATAATATTAACAAAACTGTACTAACATAGTATAATATCACAAAAATTGTAGGCAATATTAAAAATCTGCAAATAACAGGATTACTTTTATTGTATTCTAAAATATTTTTTTTCTCTGGCTCTATTTTGGTTCATCAGTTTATGTTGTTCATTATATTCCACAAATGAGTGAGATCATGTGATATCTATCTTTCTCTGACTGGCTTATTTTGCTTAGCATAATGCTGAACAAAAGAATAACTGCCTCAAAAAGACCACCCACATTTTATTTTAAACCTCTCTTTTAACTGCCCTCTCTCTCATTCAATGTATACTCAGAAAATACAAACGACCAATTTTAGTATTTTAATCTAAGCCAAATATAATTTGGAGATTTGTAAATAAAAAGTATATAAATAAAATTATAAATTCGTTTCAAATTCTTTTCTATATGAGTAATACATAAAATCCCCCCAAATTGATTATTTCTATAATTAGCTTTGTAAATATACTCATTCCCCAATTGCCTAATTTAACTAGGGTAGTATTATTTAACGGAATGCTGGGAGAGTCTTTTAGCTTTAATTTATATCCAAGGGAGAAAGCTTTCCTCACTTTTTAAAAAAATAAAAAGCCCCATGGTATAGTTCAGCCATAAAACTATGTGTGAGCAGAACAAAAGACCTATAGGAAAGTTCTAGTACGTTTTCCACCATCAAGAATCTTTGGTTTGCTGAGTCTGGGATGATAAAATTTCAGAAGCTTGTCATATTAATGTACATAGTATGTGTGTAAATATTTTATTCCACATCCATATAAACACACTCATACATGGTTCACTGTTTTATATTTTTAAAAAAGACTTACTTGTACTATGTAATTTTGAACCCAACAAAAACCCAGTGAATGAAACAGAGAGTGAGAGAGAGATACTTATTAAGTGTCTATTATACTAGCACTGCACGAGAAATTTTAGGTATGTAACCTCTCTTTGCTTTAATATCTTCATCTGTAACACAGGGCTAAAAATAGTAGTCACTTTAGGATTGTTGGGAGGATTAAATTCCATCATCCATGTAAAACACTTAGAATAATGCTTGGCACATTATAAATGCTATATAAATACATGCTCTTATTAATATGATCGCCTCACTGAACATCTCTGTCAATTCAATACTAATATCCCCCTCGTAGATAAGGAAACAGACTCAGAGATATCAAGTCATTTGTTCAAGGTCCCACAGCTGATAAAAGTATAGTTTGTACTGGAATTCAGGTTTTCCTGACTCTGGAGTTCAGGGGGAAAAAAAAAATTCTCTTCTTCTTGGGTTATTGAGTCCTTTGAACTGCCTACTACTGCTCTCTGTGTGTGTGTAACTTGGCCAGTTTCCACTTTTGATTATGTTAATGGCTAGTTTTAATTATATCACTGTTTCCCAAAGTGATTTCCATGCCACACTAGTCCTACAAAATGCTTTAAGAAAAGGTATTTTCAAGGTCATGTGAGCTTAGGAAATGTTTAAGGAAACTTACACCTAAACATATAAGATTAAAGATGTTACAAATGTCTGTAGCAAAGAAAACTATTTGACTTGGTTTCACCCAGTATTCAACTTAGTTACTCACAGAATCCTTTCCTCTTGGCAAACTTGCTAATATTCTGTAAATTACAAGATCCATACAATAGACACTTTGGGAAATCTTACATTCCACCACCCTGCCTTTCACTATCTTACAAAAAATAAACAAAATTATTCTCTGTATTTTACAGATGTTGAAAGTGAGGCTTAGAGAGCCTAAATGTAAATGACTTGCTTGAAGATTATACACTGTTGGAAGTCGAATTTAAAACCAGGTCTTCTGATTGCAGTTCAACCTCATGCCTTTCTACTATCTTATGCTACATGTGTTACATATGCTATGGTATGATATTGTGTAAATAAGCTGATTTAGAAAATACATTAGGAAGCCATCCAAATTATTGTTGCCTTAAGATTTTTAGGATACAAATAAGGTTAAAGTTAAGTTTAATCCCTATTATAAATTAGCGCTAATTTTGCACTTTCCTTGTTAGTATTTTTATCTTTGATCTAAGGAGAAATCATCCTGCCAATATATTTTAAAGTTCTATAATGACAACAGAGTCTGAAAATTTATGATTTTGTACATCTTTTAACTTCTGCTTTAAATATTTATTTTTGAAGGGAGCCACCAACTTGTGTGGTTAGTTATACGAAATTCCTATAATTTTTTTTAATGTCCTCAAGGCAAGTAAATAACATATACATTCAAGAATAAACAGACTTCTCAGGAAAAAAAACTAAATTCTCTTCTTCTTGAGTAATTAAGTCCTTTGAATTCAGGGTCTACTACTGCTCTGTGTGTTTGTAACTTGGCCAATTTCTACTTTTGATTATGTTAATGGCCAGTTTTCAATGTTTGTCAAATTAGTTGAGCCATGTTCTATATCATCAATTAGGACAAGTAGTATCATATAGCTGAATTTGTATTTACAGAAAAATTTACTTAACTACCAAAAATGCTCATATTTATAGACCACGTAAATTTGAGAATTAAGTCAACTCTCTCAATTATGCATGTGTAATGAATCACTCTTGCATCAAATATCCAAATTATGTACATATTTCTTTTGTTTAGATTCTTTTAGCTATTTACCTCAGTTTTCACTATTCCATATAAAGCATGGCTTTGATTGAGCTGATCACTGGATTTTAAATAAAAGCACATTTTTCTGTGGAAAAATTCATACTTTTTTGTTTTTATAACGAACTCTGAAATCTTTTCAAGTGTCAATGAACAGCTCCCAGAACAAAATTTCAAAAACAGTGAGGCGGCATGGGTAGCATGGAGTTATGATGAAGTCCTTCCCTATATCTTTGTACAAATCTAGACCTGATTTACTCATGCACACTAAAAAAATAGTCCATTCTGAGTCACTGCTGAAAACTTGTTATTGCATTTCTGGTTAAGTCAGCATTAGATGACTGCATTGTGTCATAACTGTTCAAAGAAAATGCAAAACAACAAAATAACTGATTTGGAGGTGGGGCAGTTGGTTAAAAAGAGGTGTTTCCTGCTTAATAAAAAGAAAAATACCCAGAATTGCTTTCCTACAGACAACCTCACACAGTGTTCCCGGAACTTACAGAATGTCCTTGTTTTCAGACTTTAGGATCTGGAGGATCTCTTCTTTCTTCGCAGTCCTGAGGTGCTGAATAAAGGCCAGGAAGTTTCTGACAGCTTCAGCCTTGGAGAGGTTGTCAGGCTGTAGGTGTTTTCTGATGGACTGCCAGTGCTCCGAGAGCTGCAAGACAGGGCTGCAGGCTCATCCCCCATTCATAATTTAGAACATCCACATTTACAAGCGATATCCTCCCCAGAAATAAATTTTTCCTTTTATCTGACAAGCAAAAGAGCATTTGGTATCTTGCCTCAATATACCTGATTGCCCTCTGCCCACTCCTGTGACCCTCAGAGGTAAGTAGAAGGGGCTGCTACCCTTGTGTATGATTCTTCTGTAGGACTGTTTTTGTCTATTAGTAGTTAGCTCAAAGGACCTCCGGCTTCCAGGCCTATAGGTCATTCCATTGTTATAACCAGGGAATTATATCTGAGGCCAGGCTTTGACTTCCATAGTGAAACTGTGCAGAATTTTCATTAACAGCAGAATATGTTGGAGGGCAAAACATTTAGAACTGTGAAGGTTTCTTATATACTGGGACCTCACTGAAAATCCATTTTTTTATAATAATTTGAGCTCTCTATTTTATTGTTTGCATAAAATGCTATGTGTTACTATTGCTAAGGTCTGGGCTGTATTCATTACTCATATCTATGGTAAGTACAACAGTATTTACATAACGGTAATTCTCACATACACTATTATTGTGCTACTGTGGTTTTAAGAATAGTAAATAGTTCTATTTAATGATATCATGTGACTTTGAAATAGGCTAAAGAACTTATTTTTCATAGTTTACCACTTTCCCCTTAGTTGTAAAGAATGCGTGAAATCCCATTAGTGACCTTTAACTCTAACTCTGGGATAATCAGCATGCTACCAGTTTCTAAATTATTCATTCCTTCTAATAAGCAATAGACATAATTTTCTCTTTTTCAAATCCCTTTGGTTATCTAATCTTAAGAGGATATTGCAAAGAAAAATTCCAGCTATACTTAGCTAAAAATTTACTGGGTCATTCCTGAGAGCAGAGAGCATATCAATATGAAGTTCAGATTTGTTTTTCTTTAAAGGGTTGCAATGGTGACATTATACTGAAGCTGAAAAAGCAAATTCCTTAAAGACATAAATCCTTCCTATAATAATGAAGAAATAGTTATAAAAAATCTTAGATGGTTCATAATATTTGATAACTATGGGGAGAAACTAATAGTTCCATAAGAAAAGCTGATTGGTTTCATTAGTCACTTTCCTAAATGATTTTCATCTCATATGACATTAGAAAATTACGCTGGAACATTACATGATATATGGAAGAAAAACAAAAGAAAAAACAAAGTTTGAGATGGTGATTTTCTGTTTTATTTTGTTTTCTCTTAATTCAACTTTGGTATATTTGAGAAACTATAAGGAATTAGTGCCTTGTACTTAAAGCAAATTATCATATTGGTTCTTGATGATTCTACTTTACTGAACACTAATAATATCCCAGGGAAGCGTATATTCTCGTACCTATGAACAGAGCATGAAGCCAAGGGTTTGCTCTTCTGACAACAGATTAACTGTTAGGAAGTACAGGACACTAAAGTCCTTTCTGTGGCCATACATCACAACAAATTCGTGCAATAAATGAAATTTCTCTTTGTTGGATTACAAATGTTACAAGATGATCTACCCTTTGCCTTGGGGATGTGCTATCTCATCCTGGCTGTAATTGTAGGGGAGGTTGGAGTGTGATAAAGAAGCATTCCTTCATTTAGGCAGGGAGCTAGGTATCCTTTATTTTGTCCTCACAGCAATACTGAGAACACTGAGCTTGCTCAGTAATACATTTCACCTGTGGACATATTGTTACTAAGTGGAAGAACTTTCAGGATTCAGATGCCTGTCCATGCTCTTGATACCATATGCTTCCCCCTAACTTCAGTAGGCCATTATTTCCCCTGAATTTCTTAAAAGGTGTTACTTTTAAGAAACTGTCATTAAGTCATAACATTTTTTTTATTTCAGACTAGAGGCCCGGTACATGAAATTCATGCACTCTGGTGGTGGTGGGGGGGTGGGCCTCAGCCCAGCCTGCACCCTCTCGCAGTCCAGAAGCCCTCAGGGGATGTCTGACTGCCAGGGGAGCGGGCCTAAGCCAGCAGTTGGACATCCTTAGCATTGCTATGGAGGCAGGAGAATCTCCCACCACTGCCACTGCACTCGCCAGCTGTGAGCCCAGCTTCTGGCTGAGCGGCCCTCCCCCTGTGGGAGCGCACTGACCACCAGGGGACAGCTCCTGCGTTGAGCATCTGCCCACTGGTGGTCAACGCGCATCATAGCGACTGGTTGTTCTGCCGTTTGGTCAATTTGCATATTAGCCTTTTATTATATAGGATGGGTGGATAATTATTTGTTAATTATTGTTATGCATCAACTTAGATACATACTATTAGGCTACTGTCATTATAATTCTGTAGTGGCTGGTAGTCCTTTATAAACTTACTTCACAAAATTAGAGAGAAAAGTAAAATAGAATTCTAAGCCATGATTATTCCCATATTTGGCTGTAACTGTTCACACTTACAGAAGGACATCCTTTACACTCGCTCTGGAACACCTGCCCCTCAATGGGAAGGGCCTTGTACTTTGAATCAACTGCTTTAATTATGGCTGCTATGTGCTTTCCAGACATTAGTCTTGGGCCTGCTTCGGTCGTCTTCAGCTCTAATTTCTGCCTGAATAACCAAGGAAGATAAATATCACATCAGCAGAATTCTTTTGAGTGAACAAGCTACTAATTGCCATTTTTGGGGCACACAGATACTAATTTATTCAAGTTGCGTTAAGGCCATGTCTTTTAAACTGCGATGTCTCCAACGGTAACACAAACCTCAAGATAATTATGAAATCCTTCTGAAGCAATAATTTTATTCAAAGATTGAAAATTTAAGGGTGGATTTTCAAAATATAATGACAAGAGAATACAGAGAAGAAAGTTTGCATGGATGCTTAACAAGATATGCAATGTCACCTCTTTCGAATTTGGCCTACCTTTCTGAAAATGGTATCTTTAAGACAACCACATGTCACTTTAATAACTAAGACAATTTGGAAATCTTTATTTTCCAAAAATGGCCTTGATAATATTCTTGTCGAATATGATCTTTTAGAACCTCTCTCCCAGCAAGAGGTAGAGTATACATCTCTCTCCTTGAGTCTGAGCAGGGTCTCTGACTGTCCCAATAATAGACAGTAGAAGTGACACTACATGACTACTAAAGCTAAGTCGTAAAAGGGAATTCAGCTTTCGTCTGGCATGTTAGCAGCACGTGCACCTTTGCAGACTTAATTGCCATGTGAGAAGTCTGGCTCCCTGAAGCTGCCATGTTGAGAAGCCACATGGAGATAAAGAGAGATGCATGAGGAGCCTCAGTAGTTTGTGTCTTTCCAGTCCAGATACCAGGGAGGTGAGGGAGCAACCTCTGAAAAGGTCTGGTCAGTGACTACCTGCAACTGCGTAACAGACACCAAGCAAGGCATTCCTAGTGGGTACAGCAAGCCCCAGACTTAGAAAGAATAATAACAGGAATGCTGCTTCTTACACCACTAAATTTGGAGTGGTTTGTTATAGAGCAGTGATGGCGAACCTTTTGAGCTCGGCGTGTCAGCATTTTGAAAAACCCTAACTTAACTCTGGTGCCGTGTCACATATAGAAATTTTTTGATCTTTGCAACCATAGTAAAACAAAGACTTATATTTTTGATATTTATTTTATATATTTAAATGCCATTTAACAAAGAAAAATCAACCAAAAAAATGAGTTCGCGTGTCACGTCTGACACGCGTGTCATAGGTTCGCCATCACTGTTATAGAGCAATGAAGACCTTAAAGACCTGATTAGTAATTAAAAATATTAAGTTCTATGAAAACAATAGTAGGATACAAAATTCTATTCCAGATGAGACTTCAATAACATTTCAGAAATTTTAGGCACCTCTCCCAAGATTTTGCATCCATTCATCTCTGACATGACAGCTACTTTAGAGGAAATAGTTGTGAAACAATGTCATAAAATATAATGCATTTAATGCTAAAATAATGTTCTTCTAAATTAAAATCTGAAAATAACACATACTATTAGATTTGAAATTCTAATTCTTAAGCCTGTGAGACCTATTCTGACCAAAGAACTTTTCTCAAATTGGAATAACAAGCTTGAATATGTAAGTACTATAAATCATATAAAAATTGTCACATCACTTTACTATGAATCGTTTTATGTGTTTCTTAACAACAGTAACAAAAGAAAAATCTCAAGGAGAGAACATGCAAATGCCACCACCTTTTTAATACTAACACTGAAAACATTTGACAGAGAAATTAGAAAATAAACTAGAATAAATCAGATTGCCTTTTTAAAATTCAAATTATATTTAGTAAACAATTAATTTTTAATGAAATTGTATTTTAAAATAATATTTAATACATGTGATACTTATTGTAGGTAATGTGAAAAATAAAATATGTGCAAGATATAAATTACTGTTTTCAAGGAGCTCACAGTCAAAATGAGGAAGCACTGTATATACTTAAAAACCAAGTATAATAATCTATGAAAGAGGAATAAAGAAAATTTTAAATTTCAGCATTGTCTTACTTTGATACTATTTTGCCTGTAATGCTGCGTAGAAAATTCAGCCCAAAAGCATGTGTCTCTTCTGCAAGCACAGCTATAACAAAGCTGTCTTCTATCTTATAGGTAGTGACAGATGTGGCTTTCGAAGTGACACCCAAGACCTAAAAAGATAAATATTTGTAGTTGTGACATTTAATCAGCTTTTAATCTTTGAATTAGGTCAAATACCAAACTATCTTTTAATCATCAAAGGAGCTTCCCCTTCACACCTCCCCTATCATTCAAACCTATAATATATTAAAATAAACCTGTTTATTTTATAATATGTAAAATTATACCCTACTAAAAATTAGAAATGTTCCCAAATTACATCATTACCTTATCTTCTATTATTTCAAATTCAACTCTACAAAATGTAATTATTTAGATGCTTCAAGAAAGTGTATCAATCATACCTGATTTATAGCTGTAAATCCAGACCTTTCTATTTTGCATGAATCCAAGGCCTTAATTTTGATCACTTTGTCTTGATGACCCTGGTAGGTCACTTTACAATCCCCAGAGATATCTACCTAAAAATAAAGTAAAGATACAGTGTTTAGGATTTTCACATGGACCATTTGAATTCCAGAGGGAATTGGCTTGAAAATTGGGGTCCCTAATATGTCACGGGGGATTGCCTTTTTGTCCAGGCTGACAAGTTAGGAAGACAGGAAGAACTCAATGTTTCCTGCAGCAAGTGGATTCTTTTTCATCCTCTTTGGTTGAATCTTACTAGAGCCTTCTTAATGCCCAAGGAATAATAAAGAATTTCTGACTTCTCTCTAATGTCTACTAAGAACTGGACAAATGGCATGGTCAAAACCAAAACCTCTGGTAAATGGGTAATTATGTGGTAAGGGAAGTTGACTTTTAATGTTATATCTAGGTTGTGTGTTGTTTGTGAGTGTGTGTGTGTGTGTGCCTTTTGACCAGCTGAGTATGATTAGAAATCTTTAAAAACCTGTTTGGATTAATTCAACTCATTATAAGTCACATCAACAAATTGAGTGTAGGCAAATGTCTCCCCATACAGGTTCTGTTTAGCTTATCCTGGCCTTTCAGCAGACCTCTGCCAGCACCATGCACACCCTCCATTCTAGCAGACTAACATTGCCTTGGCCCAGCCCTGCCATCAGATTTCCTCACTCTCTCTCTCCTGGGCTGTCTAAATTCAGGCTAGGAAACTTGGACTCAGCTCCACCTTTTACTTTAAGTGTGGTGTTGGGGGAACCACATAAACTTCTCTAGTTCAACCTCAGTTCCTTCATCTGTAAAATGAAGGGGGTCAGTGTAGACCAATGGGTTCTCAAACTGACAATGCATTCAAATTATCTGAGAAAACTGCTAAAATATAGATGCTCAGGTCCTCCCTAATCTAGTGAATCAGAATCTATAGTGAATCCTGGGAATCTATAGTTTTAATAAACTCCCCTTGGGATAGTGATACAAAGTGATGCCAATGGATGGGTCCCCACGTTCTTCTACATCTCTGTCTTTCAGTCACTCTATAAGTCTCCTCAGTGTAACTGAGTGGAGTTCCCTTTACCCTGTATTTGAGTACACACTGGTGTAAGTGGCAATTTGTTTCATGACCACCCAGCTTACCTTTACCGAGTATTACCATAGTAGTAACTTTTTTTTAAAAACTAACTTTCTACAAATAGAAAGCGATACAAATAATCTAGGGAACTCTATTGACAAATAAGATTCCGGATTTTTAATAATATTAGTAAGTACCTCATTGGTGGTCCCAGAGCTTAACTGCATCTGAAATAGGCTAGCCAGGCCTCTCTTGATATTTTCGATAGCCACTGGCTCATTTTCATATGAGTAGAAGTTTTTGACCTAAGGAAAGAAAAAGACAAATATAAATAAAGCAAAAATTCATTGTTTTTCATATTTGGTTAAATAAGTGACAGGAAAGGTTCAGATTCTTATCCCTCTCAATTCTAGGAGAAAGAGATCTGGTACCGGGGTTTCTTTTATTGTGAAAAGATGCTATTTAAATTTCTTAAGAAACTAGACCATCAGAATATGAAATTGCAGGAGACGGATAATGAAGGCTCTGAACAAGATGGGCATAGCATAGGCTGGGATTTCTGTGAAAACAAGAATTGCTCAAGGAAGAGAAATCAGAAACATTCTCTTTGAACATATCAACATATTTCCTACTTGTAACTCTGCTTGAAACGAAAACTGACCAAGGTTTAAAACAACAAAGAAATAGGTTTTTAGAGGAGAATGGCAATCACCACTCTTGAGACTGCAGAGAAAGCACAGCCACCAAGTGCTTTGATAAGGGCCCAGACGTGGCCATAATGCCCATGGACACAGTTCCACAGGGGTGATTTTCTCTGCCTGGCTCTCCACAGCATTTATGTTGGCTTTCAGTCTAAGCAGATACAGAAGGTGGGAAGATCTCAGGCTGATTGTGATTCCTGCATGGCCTGCTCCAGGCACTGCTTTGAGTTTCCCTTTAGAAGGCAGGAAAAAGAGGGTGGAATGAGGAGAGTGACTGATTTGGCTGCAGTAGTAAATGGCTTCCTTAGCTTTGTTTCATCCTTGAAATTATTATAGGCACAGGGGTGATAACGATGTCTCATACCATTTTGATTATTTAGGTCATGTTTAAGAAATAAGGATAAAAATACAAAGAACATTTTCGGGAAACCAGGCTGTCATTTTTCACCCTGTATTAACTGAAAACACTTCACATGATTTAAAACTAGAGGATGGATATAGCTTCCCTGTAAAAATTCCCAAGGTCTGTGGTAATTATAGCTGAGAACTTCTCCTAGAAATATCCTGAATACCTTCCTATTTTTCTTTTAAACCCAACCATGACTTCTCAAGTAAAACAGCTCCTTAATTGTGCAATGAACTCAATTAATACCAATCTGAACAATTCAGTCTATGTGAAAATTCTCCATAACATAGAAGAGAATATTTTGCCTGAATTATGCACAATTGCCTCAAATCTCTATTTTTATTTTCTACATATATTCTGCCTAATGATAGATTTACTAGGTACTTTATCCAACTCGTAATCAGTTTTAGTGATTACACTGGACAAACCTTAAGTGTTTGGAATTGTGTTTGTCCAGGTAAAAAGGGAATTGGAATACCGACCTCAGCATCTGAAAATCTATGGTGTCATATTCTCAAACAAATCACTGACAATTTCTCGGATCCCAGGCTGAGTTTCTGATGTTCTATTTTGTGAACTGGGTCTTTTTTTCTTTTTAGGAATTACACTGTAACTTCCTTTTCAAATATTTCGGAGTATGTTATCTCCAGATATCATGTCTATTATAGGTTCATAACTGGATCGCTTGAGCCCGGATACAGTCAGAAGGCCCACTGGGTGGCACATGCTTATGGCCTGTGACTTTTTAGGCCTGAGTCTTAAATACTTTAGAAAGCAAGAGAAGCCATTAAGTGGGGAAAATACTTTTACTTATCATCCGTATCCTCACTGTCCTTCCAGGCTAAAAAATGATGTGCCTGAACAATTTATAAAGTTTGAACTAAAATTTCAGGAAACCCAGTTCTCAGATTTAATCTCTGGACTCTGCATAAGGTGAAGTGCTCTTCTGTTATTGATCCACTTCTATGGATCAAGATTTGCTCTTGACCGCTAGTCCCTAATAAAACACTGTTGGAGACTTTTTTTTTATTTTTCCTGGAAGGCTAAACTATGTAAACTATGAGACATAAAGAGAATTTTTTTCATTCTTTCTATTTTTATTACTTTCCTAGAACCACAAAAGTGGGCAAGTCTCTTTTTCCTTTATGACTGCTACTTTGGGGGCCTAAATTCTGTTCTCTTTGTGCAGATCATTGAGGTCCAAACAGACAGCACTGGAATTTATATTAGCTAAATGTCAAAATTGTTAGAATTAACAAGCTTTTGATAATTAAAAAAAATAGTAATTAAGTCAGAACATTGGAGTTCAATCCATGTGGCTATCACTGCAGTAATCTTACATTTATTATTTCACAGCAGGAACTAACTTTTATTACACTCAGGCCATAAAACTGATTTCTTCACTCGGTTTTGAAATGAGCTCTGAATATCTGAGAGCACAGGACTCTTATCTAAATTCAGAGTCCCCAGAGCTTCCGGAGAGCCACAGTGGCACAACCCAGTGACAAACTAAGCCTTGAACCTGAGGAAACCAAACATAGAGAGAGGGGGGTGGGTTGCGGGGAAGGAGATGAGGTGCCTCTTCCTGCCAAATTTTGAGGGTCAATTTCCCTTTGAAATCAGTAGGGATTATTCATATTTTTTTCTTAGAGGCAAAAATGCTTCTGTACACTCCCTTAATTTATACATTCTTTAAAAACAAGAGAAAGCAAAATTACATTAACAGTAAAAATTTTAAAAAAGGATCCCAGCAAACAGAGATAAGTCATTTTTTTTACTTAGCTGGAGTTATATATCTCTAAACAGATCTTTGATACAAATGATACATAGGAACCAGCACATTGGAAAACGGACAAGTGAAGAAGTCTATGAAGAATGAGAGTTTCAAGGTGTCACATTTAGTTGGGAGGCTCAGTCTGTGTACAGAAGCCACACTGCCAGATTCAGAGAGCAAACCAATGCCTAGAAACAACACAAAATAAAGGGCTGACTCAGCAGCCACGTGGTTAATTTAATCAATACTGACAGGGAAAGCCAGAAATGAAAATTCAGTAAGTATCCAGTTCACTGGATTCGAACTTTAGGCCAAGAAGAATCCATGCTGTAACTTGAGGCATCTTTTGCTTGTCAGTGTTAATCAACTTAAACAGAAAACTGTCATATTTCCAACTTCATTTATGAGTTATAGACAAAACTAGAGTCATGCCCTGACACTCAGGTAGGGGAGATAATTGGGTATGAAAAAAAGATGTTCAATAAATATGTATCTAAGTGTTTTAATCGGCTTTTAAAAAATCAGCTATTATAATGTAAATGTGGGAGCTTAAAACAGTGGGCTCAGGAAAGACAAAAACTACATGTTAATGAGTATCCTTGAAATCACAGAAATTTCAGGGAATGAAATTTAATTCAAGCCTGGGGTAGAAAATATTCTTTAAAAAAACTGTCAATCAACAGTTCAACATTCCCTTTCCCATCTTCTCTCATAGTAAGCTGAAGAAGCAAGGGTTTAAAATAATGATCTTTCTGACAGTGATGTGGCTGAAAAATCCACATAGCTTCTTAGTCTCCAGGGTCATGGGTCTTTTTCCAGTAAGTTCTTTATCATATAATTGAAAGATACCACAATGTACTTTAACCTGTAAATCATCACAAGTCATAGCTCCTATAGAATTGGCACAGTGGAGTCACTGAAATAATGATGTGGCAGCTTCAGCCCAGCCTTTGAACAGTGAGGGCACCAAGTTCTTTCCTGTGTGTAACAAAAGACTTTGTACTCAACTGCTATCCAAGGGGCTATAAAATGATTGGTTGTCATTAAGCCTATAAATGCAATTAATATTTTATGGGCTCAAATGTTTTGCCACATGGGAAGGCCAGAGGAGAAAATGACAGTATTTCATGTTTTTAACAAAGTTGTGGTGTGTGAAAATCAAGTGAGTTAATAGATATGATGAAGAATGAAATAGGGATGCTCAAGTCAACAAAAGAGGTGATATTTCCTCCACATGCTTTCCAGCTAGAAGATAGTATAACATGGTGGTTTGCAGCATAGATTCTAAAATTAGACCCTCTGTTTTAAATTCAGTTCACCACTTGCCAGTTCTGTGACCCTAGGCAAATTTCTTCTCTTGACTTTGGTTTCCTCGTCTATTACAAGAGAACAAGAAATCAGTATCTGCTTCCTAGGGCTGTCCCGAGGATAAAGGAGATAATTAATATAATGCCTTCAGTCAGTGCAGGCTTTGAGTGAGAAGTACTTTTAGCTATTACTAAGCAAACAATAAGCAAAGCCTTTCTCAAAAGCTGACTCATTTTAGCCCCATATCACCTTATTAGCTCATTCCTTTAGTTTACAAGCATCTATTGCATGCCCACTATGAGCAAAGCACTGGATATATAGACATAAACATAACTGCTGCCCACAAGAAGCTGACTGTTAATGTGGGTGGCAAAGAGAGGATTACAATACCCTGTGATAAATGCTTTCATGGCAATAAACCCAGGGAAGGAGGGGGTTTGAGAGAATGTTGGGAAAGGCGTCCCGACTGATGTACCATGTCAGTCAGTGCAAGGCATGGTTCTGGGTGCTGGGGGTAGAAGGGAGTCGAAGGGCATGAAGGTCACGGGAGGGCTGGAATATAAAGAATAGGAATTTCTCTACTGAAACCCATGCTTTAGCAATGAACAGAAATGACCAAAAGAAAGTGATGAAGGCCATGAGGGAGCTACAAAGGGCGAAAGGGGTTGTTCTAAAGAGGACTACTTATTTCCAGCTGGCTAGAAGCACATGAGCTTTATAAAAGAAAGTCCCCTGAGCAAAACCTGGAACATGGTATTTTAACAAGTGGAGAAGAAGAGAAGCATTCTTTTTTTGTCTCTTTCTTTTATCTTTATTGTTGAAAGTATTACAGATGTCCCCCCTCTTTTTTCTGAGATGTTGATTCATATTTGGTTGTAGGAGAGGCAACCACATAATAATCCTTCTTTTGTGAGCTCCTTTTTAGTACTTTATATAAAAACATGCACCATGATTAGAAATGTATTGCATGTCTAAATTTTATATTTTAAAGTATTTGTTTTCATCTTTATTTTGAATCTAGAACTTTTGACTCTAGAGAAATTTTAGAGATCTGTAGAGTTTTAACTACAAGGGCCTTTTCTATTTTTCTACTTTAGTTACTAAAATTGAGCTTTCATCTTTATTTATGCATTTTATACATGTAAATGTAATATCTATACTTGTCAAAAAACCACATATGTATGCCTAATAATTCACTGATCACAATTGCTTCTCAATCCCAAACATATTAAGACCATTTTAATAATACAGTAGAATCAAATCATAAGTAACCACACTTACAGAATTTTCTGAGCAAATTTTCAAATAGATATTATAGTGTCTGTTCATTATGCATAAAATGCTTTTCAAAGTTATGGTTTTGAAATAATCTCTATATGCTTCTTTACAAAATTAACACTAACTTAGAAATACCATATCCTTTCAAAAGCTTCAATTCTGTACTTTAGTCAGATATTGATATTCTCATAACAAATTAATATCACATACCTGAGTTAGATTATTTCATTCATAATTTGTCTACTTTCCTGAATTTATTTAATCATCTGTGATAAATTTTTGCATTATAATATCTTTTTAATCCTTCTTAATTTAATAAAAAATGCACATTTCAACAATCTCTTATCAACAATCTCTGTTATAAACAAGTACTTGATTTTACTGTACTATAAAGATTTTTATAAAATAGGGAACATAAATGGCTAGAAAATATAAATGAATTGAATGCCTTGATTTACTTCTGAAACATTTAATTTGCAACCTGTTTATTAGGTCTTGAAAAAATTTCATTTACCATAAAAGTAGTGATGCCATGATCACCTAAGAATAATATCTACTAAAGGGAATAAAAATGTGAAGTTGGAGAGAAAAGATGTGCGACCCCTCCCCGCCACCCCTGCCTCCCAAATCACTTTTACCTTTCCATGGACAAGATGAAGGAGCACAGGTCTTTGTAAAGCTTCCAAGTTTTCTTTTCTTATGATTTTGGCTGGATTTTTTCCTTTGAAAATGCTCTTCTCTCCCCTCTTTTGATTCACATTTTCAACATTTACATCTTTGATCTGGAATCATGGAAAGAAACCTATTAGAAAACTTTTCTGTTTCTGTTTTCATCAGATTCTCTGAGAAAAGAAAATGATAAAGCAATATGCAGGGTTGGCCATAATTTCTTCTGTTGTTTTTTCAATTTATGACTCAGAGGACCTAGCCATTAACTTTAAAAGAATGGAGAAGATATTCAACAATCAGACTTTTAAATTAGGTAAAAATACCTATACTTAAAGAAATTTGTGACTTCAGGTTTATAATAATTATGACTAGAAGATGGCTCTTTTATGTAATTGTCATTCATTTGTTTTGAACTGTTGTGATCTGATCTCTTCACTTTCTGTACCATTTGTTTGGGAGGAGTCCTGCCCCATTGTACTTCATCTGCATATGCAAAATTAAAGATGAAAAGTGTAATTACTGAATAAACGATACATAATATTTGCTGCAGAATACTTGCATTGAGGAATGGCTCAGAGAGATGGATGATGAAATTTTTATCCAATTTGGAAGGCACAATAGCTACTGGAGACATCCAAAGAAGCAAAGATAGCTTAATAAATATATTGCAATGACACCTCATTATAAAGTATAACAGCAACTACTTATCGGTTACAATAAAGCAAATTTTGGTTTGTGTACCTATTTCACATCAACATGGGAAAGATTAACAGACTTTACTAAAGAAATAATTTGCCTTTAGGTGCTTAAAAAGCAAATATGGAATCACCATATATTAAAACTGGGAAAAATCCCAGAGACTATCTAACTTGACCTCCTTTCTCAACCCATCTATCTAAAACATTATAACTGACCAAACACTGCCATGCAGAGGAGTACCCAGTTTTTCCTTAGAAAGAATACAGAATAGGCTTACTCCCTCATTGGTAATTCTACCTGTTATGTCAAGAAACTCAGGAAAACTGGGAGGTCCAATTTATCTCCTCTTTCAGGTACAGTAGTCTCAATTGTTTTTCAAGTGACATTAATTCTAGATTCCTGACTCCCAGAACATTTCAAATGGATTCTAGTTTAATGTGTCTATTAATATGACACGTAGAACTGGACATCATACTCTACTTACTCACCAGCATATGCCTTCTTTTTGTCTACTTCAACAATTTGGAAAGATTCAGATCACTTTTGATTAGTAAACACTTTAGCTAGATGTGTTTTAGTGATAGAAAACAAACTAAATGGTCATACAACCAAGAACATAAAACAAGTGCTATTGAATGGTACACGTCTCAAGGACATTGCTGACATATAATGTTTGCATCTTTCTGGTAGAAAATGCCCACCGTGATTTGGATCAGTTGGTCATCATCACCATCAGGATTCCTCCACAGTAAGACGACGTCCACATTGGATGAAATTCGGTAACCCACACTGTCTTGGAGCTTTCCTTTGCCCTGATTCACAAAAACTTCAGTGGAGTATGTGAGTTTGTACAGCCGGTCATTATTTAAAGAGAGACCAGTTGTGTGACCTGCATAAAGATAGTGAAACAAGTCAAGTCTTAGTAATGAGGCATCCATCAGCCCAGGAATGTGCTGTCCTGAAATTGAAGCATTCTCATCTAGTAGAGTCGTGCCCAGTGGGAGCTCAGTGAGTATTTGTTAAATGAAAGGTGGTTCTACTTCTCCATCTGCTAAAATCATTGGCTTGAACAGTAACAACAAAAACAAGAAACAATAAGCTTCCATTTCATAAACCTTCATTTGTATCCCTAATCAATAATCAGATTACCTAAGTATTTCTCTGATTGAACTATAGAATATTGTTAAAGAAGTGTCACTGTATTGCTTTAAGTTATATGATTTCTCCCCTACCACCCACCTCAGCTTCATCAAGGTATAATAAATATGATTTTAAGTAGAGGTTCAGCCCTGGGATTGCTTTATAAAATTAATACAAACCATTTGTAAATAAATGTAATGGCTCATTGCCAAAGTTATTTTAGGGGTCAGAAGGCAGTTCCTTTAATTGGATGTTTTGAATATTTAAAGAATATCCCTCCAATGCAATTTACTCTGTCAATTTAATTAGTAAACTTTTAGTACAAAGGTACATTTCAATGTTACACATATGTAAGTTTAAATTAGCTGTGACTGAATAAAATGATGTTTCACTACATAAAACCTTAACACAGGCTTTAATTTGACAGACAATTTAATATCAAATAGTATAAAAGTCAGTATTGTGAGCCAAAAAAGTTGATACATGGAGATCACACACTCTTCCATTCAGTTTAATTTAATTCAAAAAATGGGAGTAGGATCAAGTTTTTCTTAGGGATGACTTGAAGTTTACAGTCTTACCAATTTTTTTCTTTGCATATTTCCTATCTATAGCTCTCAGGAGGTAGTAAAAAAGATTTCAGTATACATTTTTCCTCAGTGCTAATCAGGTTGTATCTCCTAGTTAACTATAATAGGCAACCATAACTCCCCCCACCCTCAGGATATATGCACATGAGGGAGGTCAGGAAAGGAGGTTAAGATGAGTAGGCTAGAAATGAGATAGTTGAGAAAAAAAAGTAAAATTAAAAGTCAAAAAATTTAAAAAAACCTCTGAAAAGTCTTTAGCATCTACTGTCTCTATCATCTAATACAGCACCTACTGCCCAGAGGAAAAAATGGTCAAAATACATTGTCTCTAATAAACTAAGAGTTCTATGTGCATTAATATACAGGGTGTCCCCCCAAAAATGTATGCACACTTTACCAGCTGATAGCTCAATTTTGAAAATGAAATGTACTTTAATAAAAACTACCTTTATAATTATTCAAAGTGTGTGTATATATTTTGGGGGAACACCTATATTTAATCCTCACAAGAACTTAATAGGTATCATTACTAATCCCATTTCATACATAAGGAAACTGAGGGGCACAGAGATTATACATTTTATCCAAGATCACCCAGACAGTTAGGGGTGGAGTCAGGCTGTGAACCCAGGCTTGTCTGGCTTTAGAGATCATGCTCTTCTCTATACCATACTTATCTACACCTTTAGGTTGAACTCTATGTCTAGGGAGTGAGCTAGGAATTCATGTATTCATTCATTCATTCATTCATTCACTCATTCAACAAGGATGTACTGAGCATCCACGTTGTGGTGGGCACCTTTCTAGGCTCTGGAGCTACACCAGTTAACGAGCAGATAAAATGTCTACCTTTGTGGAGTTTATAAGGAGGAGATGGGCAATAGCTTATATACTTATAAGTAATAAAAGTATATAAAGAAAAATGAAACAGAAAAGGGACTGGAGATACTGAGAGAAAGACCTTTGTTGAGAAGGTAATATTCTGGGCAAAGGCTTCAGGCTACTCATGTGGATATCTGTGGGGAGGGCATCTCCACACTCCTACCACCCATCCTCCCCACAGAAGGAATAGCAGTTCAAAGGCCCTGAGGAAAGTTCATGCAGGTGTAATGGAGGAACAGCTGGGAGGCCAAAGAGGCTGGGACTGACTAAGTGAAAGACAGCAGAAGGAAGTGAGGTCAAATAGGTACCTATAGGTGGCAGGGAGATCTGGGGCAAAGACCTTTGCATAGATTTAGAATTTGACTCTGAGTAGATGTGTGGCAAAGTTATGTGATCTAACAAACCTTCAAAGAAATGGGATAAGGAATCAAGAACTAGGAATCAGGAAAAGGAAGTGTGGAAGTGGGTATCCAAGTGTATAAACACAAAAATAGACCGTATCCAAGCAACAAGTCAGAACCTCAGCTATGAGATACAGAAGGCAGAAAAGGTCAGGAGAAACTTTGAAGGAGATGAAATCTATGACTCCCTCTAGCCTTCCTTACCTCTGCCTCTTCTACAGTTTAAGTAGAGACACTCCTGCAGCTTCAAACATTAGCTTTCTGGCCAGGAATGATATTTTGGGCAGAGAGGCCTTATTTTAATGACATGTATAGAATTCCACGCAAGGCATAAAGGAAATACATGTTTTCTTATCTAATCCTCACAGTCATTCTGAAAGATAGGCATTATATGACAGCCAAAAAAAGCTGAGTCTGCGTTAAACTCAACAGAGCAGATATAATGCAGAATTTGACACTTAAATTTACTGAGATCCAAGTTTCATGGACTACATGAAGGTGATGGTGATTGAAGTTACTATGAAAAGTTTGTAGAAAGGCAGCCTCCCTTACATTCTGAAGCTTTCCAAACTATTGTGTTGACCATTTTTTCTTACTTTGACTTTACTGGACAATAGAATGTGAAAAGGGGCAACAAGATTAGTTTTTGATTATGACTAATTAGTGATAAAACACAGGAAAGAATAAGCCTTGTTTCTCCTAGAACTTTTTCCTACCTCTTTCAACAGGAGATAAACCTAAAATGTTTCAAATAAATGGATTGTGCTGTAGTGTTGTCCCTGTTATCCTTTCTTCTTTGATAAATATGTCTCTGTTGGTTTAGAGACTGGCAACACTGGGCAATGGGGACATGTTCTATTTATATTGTTGACATAATTTCTTTCTTAAGGTACTGCTCTTTCGAGTATGCAGAATGGCATTTTTTGAAGCTAATGTTAGATAAAACCAGAAGAGAAAGAGTCAATACCTCTTCAAGGTTCCCCTTTAAGTGCATCTAGAATTTTTAAGGGACTTAAAAACAACAAACTTAGTTTCAAACCTTTAGGAAATATGTTAAAATACTCATTTATCAAACCTAGATGAGCCCAATAGACAGTTAATTGGTTTAAGCAAGGAGACAAAATAGGGATTTAGGATTCCAACAGAAAACTATAAGGCTGGAAGTAGGGTAGGATGAAGCATAAATGAATTGAAAAGTATGGGGAAGGCCATGAACTGAGAGAAAGACTGGAAATGAAGAAACAGTTCAGGTTTAGAAGTAACAAGATTAAATAGAAAGTTTTTGTGTAGATTATGGAAAGTAAAAGTACTATAAAGAAAACCCAAAGAAGGCACTGAGAATAGATCCACTATTATAAAATATGATTCAGAAAAACTAGGGAAAACTTGAGGTTTCAGAATGTTCACACTCAGCATATCTCTTCTAAATAGACCTTCTTCCATATTAATTTGAATACCTTCCTCCATTCTCTTCACAGTTCAACATGCATTCAAAAACCACCCAAATCTGGGGATTTGCTAAACAGTGGCATTGACAATTAAATTTGAGATGAGTTTTGAGGTGCTGCATGGGATCCCAAAAATTTATAATGGCCTTAAAGTAAATTCTTCCTAAGTAGTTTGCTTGTTAAATGTAAATCATTACAGAGAACAAGGAATTTATTACTAAGTCACAGTATATAATACAAAAGGTTATCACACCTAGGTAGAGGGAGAGCTGTCAAGTCCTGTACTTTTTATTTATATTTGGCATAAGCAGTTTGTACCATGAAGCTAATGGCACTTAGGCTTTGGGGCCCTTACTTGCCCAGGTTCATTTCAAGATCTTAGAAGGTGACACTAGCAATGTATACACATCTTTTTTTCAGTAACATTCGCAAAAGTAAGGTATTTTTGCAATCTTTCCTAAAAATATGTCCCATAAGTTGCATAATCTTCAGGTTCTAAAAATCTGGATTTACCACTGAACTTGTACACAACAAACTGTAGACAACTGTCATCTTCTAAACCTGTGTGCTATTGTTGCCTATGTGTATTTTAAATCTTTATTAGTGCACGTATTTGAAAATATTAAGTTATCCAAACTTCTTATTTATAGGGTGGGGGAAAAAGAGAAACCCACAATAACTACTATATCTCAATTATTTTTTTTCAAAATAATCATGGTATATTAGGTTTGATATTATGTTGTAAAAATCACTCAGATTTCAAATATACAAGAGTTTATTTGACATAATAAAATAGTAAGCTCTCTATATAATTCTCAGATATAATTTACAAGCCTTTACATTTTTCTCAAAACATTTTTTTTCATCCAAGTAAGGACTGTATCTTTAAATACCAAACATTTCAGAAACTGGTGAGAAATACTGTCTTTAATTCAAGAAAAAAAAGTGTCATTTGCTTATGTGAAATAATTTAAATTTAGCCCCCCATTTATTGTTCCCATAATAAAGATTGTCTTTTCCTCATGTGAAAATTTTCCATGCAAAAAATCTTGAGGAAAAACTTCAGTTTGTCATCAAAAACCAATTCCAAATTGGTTTTAGGAGTTTACAAATCAACTGTTTTATATCAATTACTTAGAGTACATAGTTATTCAAATTGGACCTTATTATGCTAAATGATGTTAGATCAATTACCTTTGATAGTACACCCGCTTAAGAGACTATAAAAAAGTGATAATTTTACAGGCATAACATTTAGAAACCCAAGGAGTGTATTAACTAGTGATTTAAAACAAGATTCCATATTAATACAATCATACTTCTCTTTGAAATTACCACTCCTGTTTTTTCTCTTTCAAAGGTCTCAATTCATCAGTGTGTGTTTTTTAAATCAAATTTATCTTAAAGTAGAAATGGTAACTACCAACACAAGTTTTCAAAAGATAATAAATCTTCTTATCCTATATCATGTACTTTTATTTTATGTAATTCACCAACTATGATGATTCTGTCACTTCTAACAAGTAATGAAATTAAATACATGCTTTACCATTTCATTCGTAATTCTTTGGTAAGTCACATGCTTTTACATTGGGTCTAATTCTTCTTGATGTCACATTGCTAAGCAACTAGAAGGAAATTTAAAGAAGTGTTTTTTTTAAGTCCTCTTTTACAATTCAAATGAAGGAGCTGCATTCAGGGAGCAACCAACAGCAGCAGGTAACAATAGCTGGCATCTTTTTTCTCCCTTTTAAAAATCCACCATGAATGAGAAATTGAAACAAGCAGCACACTCATCTGAGGCACTGAATCTAAAAGGAACCTCTGTTTTCTTATTGTATGGAGGAATTTGAATTCAGTTTTCATTCTAACCCAGTCATGCCTTCACAAACATCCCATAGTTACATGCTTTTGAAGCTGGTTTAGTTAGAAACTTTCACTATTCACACACACACACACACACACACACACACTCACACACAAGCACACACTGCCCTTTCAATGATTAAAATTGAAATTTAGCAAAAGGCAACACAAACTTACCTTTAACAGAAGCTGAGTATGAGGAAATGAAGCAGAGAAAAAGCACAGCTAGAAGAATCATATTGACTCTCCACCCTCTAATGCATCCAGTACCCGGCAAGGAGTCACTAAGAAGTGGACTCTTCTGATGGCAGCAAGGAAATGTCCCTCCTTGGAACCTGCAATGATAATGTTTATCTCTGGGGAAAGGTCAGATTCCAAACTCCAAAATCACGACCTAGGTTCACCGAAGGGATCACTGTTAATGATTAAACACAGGTGGGCTGTAGTTTTCAGTCTTTCACTCTTTAATTTTTTTACTCAATAGGGAAAATAATCTTCACTTTTGAGAGCTAAACTAGTCTACTCGTAAATTCAGAAAAAGCGGTGATGACACTTTTCTACTCAATACTAATCATCATGCCTATGATATTAAACACCTGTCTTCATATTTTACTATTTCATGTGGGAGGGTAGTGAGGATTCTCACTCAGCTAACCTTAATTGGATCTTGTGTATGTTATATGCTCATCTTTGGATTTGTTTATATCACATGTATGCATGCTATTAGAATAAATCACTCTGAATTTTAGGCTTGAACTTAAAAAAATCAAGTTGTACCACCACCAATCACTTTCTAGTGTATTAATATCATAGTAGGCCTCTAGCTATATCTGTAACAAGAGACAGAGTTGTCTGAGTCCCCCAATGTGCTGGATGGAGTCCCTGGGCTTTCTGAATCCCATTTCTAGGGAGAGATTCAGAGGGGAAATTCCAGCCCTTAACAATTTTGCTACAGAAAATTTATTAGGAAACATCTCTAGAATCAAAGCAAATACTCTAGTATGGCTAAGACCACATTAACTGAACCAACCTTTATCCTTGGAAACTCCTGGAAGAGACTTAATATGAACAAAACTTACTAAAATGAGGTGTTTGGGTGGCATGTGGGGTGTTTTTGGCAAAGGGGGAATAAAGTACTGGTGAAAGACTATATGAATGAACTTAAAAATACTTAAGGCCATATTTAATTATAAAATGGGTTCTCAAATCTACTCTTGTCTTTCTCAAAACTCTTTTCTAGAATCTTAACTTTATGTTTAGACAACCCAGGTAAAAGATAGCCAACTTGATAGGGCCACAAGATGAAACATAAAATTTAAAATCTACAAAGTTTATATAAAAAACTTAAAATTGAAAATTGTTCATCTTTGTCATCCATTGAGATTAGAACTTCATTTGCTGTCATAACCTTTGTACATAAATTATGGCAGAAGTACCTATACAGAAATAAAATGTTTGGTTGTAACTATCACATTAATGTTATAACTTATAAATAACAAGTTTTCCTGGGGTAAACGAACAAGACCATTCTTAGAAAAATACATTTGTGAAGAAATGTAAGTTTTTATGAAGAGTAGGTATTATAAATACAAGGTGATGTGAAAGTCCTTTAAATTTACATATGAATGGATTTCTGTATGTTTCCACAATCTCAGCATTACATACATAGGGGATATGAAGCCATTATAGTCACTCAAACTTTACATTCTTATTTAAATTAAGAACTAGTTTGAATCTTATGTGATTCTATGAGAATTGTCTTTTGTATTTCCATTTGAGGCTCAGTTACATAGACTAAATGGTGCATGATACGTGTCTCACAGGTAAAAGTACCATTTGTTGTCAGGTACCAGAGTCCAACCAATAAAAGGCATATCACTATTGCCTAATAAATACTGTTTCACTTGAGCATTAGCTTCCTACTGGAAAGCTCCTATAATTCACTGTATTAGTCATTTCTACATAGATTGCTCAAATAAGGCTGCTTCTGTTGGCAATAAATAACATCATTCTTTTCTATTTCGTTATAACCTTTTCTATTTACAACAACACTTGAAAGACTTAAGATTAATGCCAAATACTTTCCATATTCATTGAATTTTGTTACCAAAAAAGAGGCATTCTCCTCTGTTGCTTTGTTGATCAAGCAGAGCAAACATCTATATATATAAAAGTCTAATATACTAAGTGGTCTTCCCTCCATCTGGGTAATGATGTCATGTAGCAACACCTGGCTTCCTCTCCCTAGAGACAACTAGCCTCCTTACAGTTTCTTCAGCCCAGGAACACGACTTGCTTTATAGCCAGGTGGAAACACTTTACACTGTAACCAAATGTCTGTGAAGCATTTTCCCGTGCCTCATCTCATTTGATCCTCACAGAAGTCCTGGAGTAGGTAGATAGGAGACTTGGTGGAATCCTATTTTCTTTTCATTAGCCGGAAAACGGAGATTTAGGAAGGTTAGAAACTTGACTGGACTGAAAAGAAGAAAGAAATAGTGGACCTTGAAAATGACATCAGGTTTTCTCACTGAGCAGAATATAGTCAAACACTGCTGCAGTTAAATATTTTACCCTTTGTTCTCCGTGCGTGATCTATAATAATAATCTTCTTCGTGTTGATATTTACTGCTGTGTTGCTGACAATTACCTGAAAGAGAAGTTGGGGTGCTTCACTGGGCTGGAAAAAGTTTAGCTAAATCAGAAAGCAGGTCTAATTAAGCAAGTTTGTTCTATATCTATAAAAGGCTGAGTTGACTCGCACATGTGCGATACATATAAAGCTCTCACTGGCGCCAATCGCACGTGTGTGTTTTGATCTGTCATTGTCGATTGTGAATTTGGTTGACACTTTTTTATTATAGAAAGGGCGAATAGCGATATTAAAATATTTCTTCTAATTAATTTCCTTTTAATGTGCACGAATTCGTGCACCGGGCCACTAGTTGTACAATATATGTGGGAGATACTGTACCTCCCAAAGCACATCAGCTATTTTACATGACATGTGAAGCAATACAGAAGCACAGCACAGAATAAAAATAACAAGAGCTGCCATCTATGGAATGATTACTATGTAGAATACACTATACTAAGCACTTTACATTTTTATAGTATATCCTAATAATTATTTTACATTAGAAAAATGAGACTCAGATTTAGTAAAATGATTTAAGGAGTATAAACAAACCTTGAAATCTAGACCAAATATTCTCCTTTACTTAAAAATGTCAGAGCTTTATCCGGTTTTGCTCAGTGGTTAGAGTGTTGGCCCGCAGACTGAAGGGCTGCAGGTTTGATTCCCATCAAGGGTATTTCCTTAGTTGTGGCTCCATCCCTGGTTTTGGTGGGGGCATGTGTGGGAGGCAACAATCTCTCTCACATTAACGTTTCTCTTTCGCCCCCTTCCTTTCACTCTCTGAAAAAAATCAATGGAAAAAAATATCCTTGAATGAGGATTAACAACAACAAAAAACAGAGATAGAAAATTGAAAAGTTGATTTATTATGGATGATATAGAATTATTAATCAGGACTGTCTTTTAATCAATTGACACAATTTGGGGTATGGAAGCTAACAGAGCATTTGGCTGTTGTGGTTAGATGTGCCTGGCTGAAATTACAGGGGAAAATACTGATCTGTGCTAGCCAGGTCAAAATCAAATAATATATTTTAAGGCAATGACATTCTACTGGTAGTACATGGCACTGCTATACTACTATATTGCAGTGATAAGTAAGAGACTATGAAATAAAGATGGATGACTAATTCCAAAGTACAGTTGTATTTCTGTTACATATCAGAGGTTGTTAGGAGTTAACTCATTTTCCTTGATTAGAAGATAAATTAATTTCACCCCACTAAACGTGGAAGAAAATGTATTACCCAATTAGATATAGATGTAGTAGGTCAGGAAGTATGATAGCAATACAGGAATAAAGTCTTTATAGCATTGGAACCACTTTACTCTGTCCTTAGAAAGAATCAACGAAAAAAAATGTTTAGGGGGCACTTCAAGTTATCCTTAAGTGGTCTCAATAAAATATAATTCAGTTAGGGAATTAGCATTGTTATAGCTTTGGCCATTGGGAGCTTTTTCAATTGGCTCCTGTGTTCCTTTGACATCTGTGTGTGTTTAAGCATTTCCTTACTTTCTGGCACTACTAAATGTTCCAGTTTCATCTAACATATTTTCATCTTATCATTTCTCCAAGGAGCTTTGATTCCTTTTGTCGAAGAACTAGAGGTCCAGTGCATGAATTTGTGCACAGGTGGGGTCCAGCCGGCCTGCCCCAATGGGAGCCAATCGGGGGAGGGGCTGCAGAGGTTGGGAGGGGCCGATCGGGACCCGGATTCGGCGGGTTGGCCGCCGCAGTGCGCACCATAGTGACTGGTCGTTCTGTCATTCTGGTCACTTGGCTTTTATATATATAGACTAGAGGCCTGATGCATGAAATTAATGAAAGAGTAGGCCTTCCTTCTCCCAGCTGCTGGCACTGGCTTCCCTCAGGCACCCGGACTTCCTTCCGGCAGCTGGCAGGCACCCGGGACCCAGGCTTTTCGCTCTGGCTGCCGGCAGGCCCCGGGACCCAGGCTTCCTTCGGCCCCAGCTTTGTCCAGAAGGACGTCTGGAATCACATCTGGAATGATGTCTGGTCTAATTAGCATATTATGCTTTTATTATTATAGATGGTATTAGAAACCAAGATCTGGGTACAAAATGTGCTATTTCTACATTAAGTCTTCCAAGCCATGAACACAGAATATCTTTACATTTAATTAGATCTTTATTTCCTACATCAGTTTTGTAGTTTCCCTCATATAGATCCTGTATATGTTTCTTTTTATACCTAAGTATTAGATTTATACCTAAGTATTTCTATTCGAGGTCTAATTTTTTTTTTTTTTTAATTTTGAGTTCCAAATGTTCATTGATAGTAAATAGGAAATCAATTGACTTTTGTATAGTAACTTTGTATCCTGTGACCTTACTATAACCACTAATTAGTCCCATAAGGATTTTTTGTTGTTGACTTGGGAGAGTTTTTTTTACAAAGACAATCATGTCATTTGAGAATAGTTTTACTTCTTTTTATTTCCTTTTCTTGTCTCAATGCACTAGCTTGGACTTCAAGTATGATATTGGACATGATATTGGGTATATTTGTGTACTTGTTATACTACATATTCTTTTCTGAGTTCTGTCACTTCAAATCTTTTCTCCAAATCACTTTGACTTTTTAGGTTTATGCTGTTCTTTCCATATTCTATCATTTAAAAATTTTCTCATTTTAAAATATTGGGTTATACTTTTCATCTATTTTTCTGCTTCATTTTTATTACAACTTTTAATAGGATTAAACTATGATCTTACTTTGTGGTATACTTTTAGGCTAAATAAGTTATTCTGTACTTTTAAGAGAGAGGAGTGAGTAGAGTATCTTTTCTAGTTAATGGTTCTAGAGCTTCCTTTCTGGTGTTTTCTTATTTAAGTTCTTCCTCCTCTTCTCTCCCACGTTTATCTAGACCTGTTTTAATTTTTTTCTTTGCCTTTATTGTGTCTTTTCTAGTTAATGGTTCTAATCTAGAGCTTCCTTTCTGGTGTTTTCTTATTTGAGTTCTTCCTCCTCTTCTCTCCCACGTTTATCTAGACCTGTTTTAATTTTTTTCTTTGCCTTTATTGTCTATATCCTGATTAATTTTATTTCTCCTCCTAGAAGTTCCTCCTTAGTGTTGGGCTTTGTCCAAGAAGGGAGCTCAGGTTTAAGTTTTGAGAGTTCATAGTCCCCATACCCGCACATACACACCCTTCAGCACTTTCAGAGTTTCCTGCTCATCCCTTTGTACTCCCCCTGAAATTACAATCTGCCAGTTTTGCTGATTTCACATTGGTCCCCTTGCTTTCAGTGAATACCTGTTGGCAGTTTGTGGTCCTCCCATTCTTATAGCCTTCAGATGCTATGTTGTCTTTCTACTGTTTCCTCCTGACAGATGTTGATACTGAATTGACTTGTTCCCAGCCACTCATATGCTGAACTTTATAAGAAATCTTTTTCACTTCATTTTGTAGCTATGATCTGAGCATGCTGATATTAGTGTTCTTTGTTTATCACACATGCTCTACCTGTTTCTATGAGGAGATTCAGACTACACTGCCTCTGTAGTCACCTTCCTAGAGTCTTCAATATTACTTGGGAGGGATGTGAATAAGGAATTGGAAAAAAAAACTCCACCATTTTAAACCTTTCCTATAGCTTTGAAATCAATTAAAATTCAAGTTGAAATGATAGGTTGTTCCTGCTTTTACATAACTTTCAAGACATTTTTAAAAATTAGTTTATATTTGGTTTTCCTAACTAGAAATTAATGTACAGTTGTCCCTTAGGGGCTTGGTTCCAGGATGTCCCCCCACCCAGATAGTGAAATCCAAGGGCACTCAAGTCCCTTATATAAAACTAGAGGCCTAATGCATGAAATTCATTCATGGGTAGGATCTCTAGGCCTGGCCAGCAATCAAGGCCCATCTGTGTGGCGACTGGCGGGGTGAACAGAGGGCCCCTGCTGGCACCCGCCTTGGCCGGCCTGGTGCCGCCCACTTGCCAGCCCCACCCCCTGCTGCCACTGGTCACCTCCCTCTGCAGGAGGTGACAGGACGATTGGGGGCGGTGCCTGCCGCTTGCCGGCTGGCTCTGGCCCCTGTGGGGTGACCGGCGGGGCGATTGGGGGCAGGTCCTGCATTGAGCGTCTGCCCCCTAGTGGTCAGTGTGCATCATAGCGACCGGTTGTTCCTCTAGGCCTGGCCAGCAATCAAGGCCCATCTGTGTGGCGACTGGCGGGGTGAACAGAGGGCCCCTGCTGGCACCCGCACCTTGAAAGGAACTATGGGCCACGAGGCTGCATTGGGCACAGGGGTGGGTCTCGGCCCATCCTCCATGCCCCACCCGGCCTCATCCGCCGCGGCCCTTGGTCCCATCTGCCGGCAGCCCTGCTCTCACCGCTGTCACTGCCACGCACTGATGGCGCCAGCCCAACTTGCACCCACTGACAGCACGGAGTGATTGGGGCCAGCACTGGGTGCCGGCAGCAGGTGCGAGTGGCAGCTCCGGCAGAGGGTGTGAGTGGGGCCGGCGCTGGCAGCAGGTGTGAGCAGGGCCAGGGCTGGAAGTGGGTGCAAATGCCCGGTGGGACCGTGGCGCACAGGAGCAAAGAATTTTCAGTAACCACCAGAGGCGTGCCCCGATGACAGCGACCAGCACCCCGCCTTGATCTGGCGCCCCGCTCAACTGCTCCACCATCCCACTGCAGCCAATGCCCGCCACGTTCCACGCTCTGCCGCTTGCTGCCGATGCCCGCCATGTTCCGCACAAGCCCCGATGATCAGTGCACATCATAGCAACTGGTTGTTCAGTTGCTCTGCCGTTTAGTCTATTTGCATATTAGGGTTTTATATATATAGACTAGAGGCCCGGTGCATGGGATTCGTGCACTGATGGGGGGGCGTGGCCTACGGGGATCGGCCCACTGTGGGAGCACCGCTCATCTTGGTCTGCCAAGGAGCTGTGGACCCACCCTCTGAGCAGCTGCTCCCTGGTCCAGCATCTTCTGTGGAGCCGGAGCATTTGCCTCTCCAGGGGACCTGGTCAGGGCTGGGCCCAGGGACAATAGCACTGAGAGGCGGTGGAGTAGGCCTCAGTCCTGCGGCAGCCACGAACCCGCCTCCCAGCCTCCGAGGTCAGCTCTGTGAGCCCAGCAGCAGCACAGTGCGGCCTGCGGGGAGACTGGAGGCGGCGGCAGGGAGCGAGGAGGAGCCTGGGGCGAGGAGGCAATGATAGCAGCCCTGCCCACTGGCCCAGGGTTTGCAGTGGGAGCAGCTGCTCATCCCGGTCAGCTGAGTGGCAACTCCCACTGTGGTAGCACACTGACCACCAGGGAGCAACTCCTGTTGAGCATCTGCCCTCTGGTGGTCAGTGCACGTCATAGTAACTGGTTGAGCAGTCATTCTGGTCGTTCCTCTGTTCAGTTGCTGGGCTTTTATTATACAGGATATAAAAAGCTAATATGCTAAGTGTCCTTCCCACTGTCTGACTGGTCACTATGATGTGCACTGACCACCAGGGGGCACACGCTCAATGCAGAAGCTGCCATGATGCACACAGAGAAATGGCACTGTGGACCTGGCACCGACAAAGCAACACTTGGCTTCCCCAAGTGGGACACAGGCTCTGCCACCACCCCAGAGTGAAAGCCAACCAAATCACAGCCGATGCTGCCATGGCACAAAATTCGGCCCACAGTCCAGCCCAGCCCAGCCCGCAAACAGTGGTTATGGGTGCCGGGTAATGATGTCATGTTTTTGTTGACATTCAGAAGCCAAAATTGTCAACAGAATATGTCTGAAGACCAACTATTGCCACAACATACCTCTGAAGCCAGAAGCCAGCATCCTCAACAGAATGTATCTGAAGACCAACTATTGGCGCAACGTACCTCTGATGCTGAAAGAAAGCGATGTCATCAACAGAATATATCTGAAGAACAGTCATCGACAAGTGCTACCAATACTGGTAGGAACTGCCTTCATAGTGAAAATGAGGTAAATGAGGATGCAGTTATCGAACACAGTTGTGGTGGAATGACTGTTACATGTCAATGTTGCCTATCCCTAAATTTCTCTGATGAAAAACCATCTGATGAAAAATTTATTCGATGTTGTAGCAAAGGCAAAGTTTGTCCAAATGATATAAATTTTCCAGAATACCTGGCATATTTAAAAATATTAATGATAAACAAAGATTTTGACAGTAAAAATTTCATGGAAAATATTTGTTATATCATGTTGTTATTGCTTTTTATTAATCAATTTACATATTATTTTCATGTACATTTTACTAATTTTCTTTCATCTCTGACACTTCTATTATAAAGGGTGAATAGCAATATTAAAATATTTCTTCTAATTAATTTCCTTTCAATGTGCACAAATTTGTTCACCTGACCACTAGTAATATATAGGATGAGATACTATTTGCATATAATCAATGCACAACCTCCTGTATACTTTATACTGTATAATCATCTCTAGATTACTTGTGATATCTAATACAATGTAAACACTGTGTAAATAGTTGTTATACGGTATTGTTAGGGAATAATCACACACAAAAATAATCTGTATATGTTCAGTAGAGCACAACCATTGTAGTCTTACCTACACACAGGATGGAGCAAAAGCAGGTTTCCAGTTGTTCATATGAAAAATAATAATTAATAAGTAATGAGAATAAACTATTTCCTGTACTCACAACTGTAAACCTACTTTTGCCCCACCCTATAGTACACATCAGCAACAATGTAACTTTTAAAAATATATATATTTTCGCCGAAACCGGTTTGGCGTCAGCTTGCGGACTGAAAGGTCCCAGGTTCGATTCTGGTCAAGGGCATGTACCTGGGTTGCGGGCACATCCCCAGTAGGAGATGTGCAGGAGGCAGCTGATCAATGTTTCTCTCTCATCGATGTTTCTAACTCTCTATCTCTCTCCCTTCCTCTCTGTAAAAAATCAATAAAATATATTTTAAAAAAAAAAGAGAAATCCTTGATTTTTAAAAAGTATTTTTAAATTGATTTATAAAATAAAATAAAAATATATATATTTTTGATGCTTGGTTGGTTGAACATGTGAATGTCATACCTGCAGATCTGGAGGGCTGACTGTCCTCACAAGTGTGCTCTGTTCCTATACCTCCCCACTCTCAACTTGCTGCAGAGTACTCTCAAACGTAATGGGATATCAGAATTAGGCCTAAAATAATGACATTTGTGATTGATTGCCCAATATTTCTCAGGCCAAACATTTGGAGGAGCTCATAACTGTATTTACTACTATGTTTCTGTGTCCTAAAATTCTGGTTCTCTCTGTAGCTCCCTTCTCACTCTACAATATACAGTCCAAGTTAACAAACTGGCAACCGATCGTCTGAATGTGGTTCCCAGACATGTTTTGTTTAGCCTGCTCAGTATTTTTTTTAAATCACTGACAACACTTAAAAACCAAGTTTTACATAAAGATTCAGATTTCTGGCTGCGATTAAAAAATTGAGATCTGATGTCACTAGGCCCACATTTCTACTTGGAACTTGTACCCTAATTAAACAGAGAATGTGCTCTCCTGTTTGTGACACTGTTCTCCCAGATAGTTTTTCTCCCTTCTTACCTTCTAGTCCTCATAACCATTATAGGTTTGTAACCATGGACTAACATCTCTTTGATATGAATCTCTTATGTTGGCTTAAACTACCAACTATGTGATTTCGAAATCTGTTTCAACTTAGACGTCCTTTAGACTCACAGAACCCATAGTCAAAACCAAACTATTTTTTGCAAAACCTATTTTTCTTCCACTACTCTCTAAATGATCCAGTTAGCACAATTACATCCTACAGTTGTCCAGATTATAAAAATCCTCAGAGCTCTTCTTCCTTCCTCATCCTACTCAAAACTTTTCAGTCATGTGCCAAACTATGACATGTCTTTGCTTTCACTGTTCCCAGTATTTTAAATACCTTTCTTTTTTTTATCTCGAAAACCCCTACTTACTTTCCAAGATGGAGCAAACTTACTCAACTTCTGAAACTATGTCTCTTGGTTCTAGGTGCGTTCAGTTGCTCCTTTCCATGTACAAGCATCTCACGTTTGTTATATGGTATTTACTTGCTGCTGGTTCTCCAACTAGACTAGGGATTCCTTAAGGATACCAACCATGATTGAGTTATCTTTGTATCAAAACCAAGACAAAAACTATGGAACTCAAAAAATGTGTCAAACATGAATTTTACAAATTAATAAATGTGAAATTATTTTATGTTACTTTTTTTCTTTTTTTTGCTGGTACTTTTTTGGTGTTTGCTTAGGATTGATACTACAATCACTTCAAATTTTGCACCATGACTATAAAGTTAAAAGAAAACTTATTGACTCCACGATGACGGTTTTTAAAGTAACTTAAGTTTTAAAAAAAAAATATCTAAGGGTGCCAACTATTAATTATGAAAAAAATATATAATTCTTCATAACACAGATCCCCAAGGAACAACTGAACAGCTGTTAAAAGATCTGGCACATCACCATGCCAGCCTGCGTTTAATGACCTACATGTGAAGCGCTACATATCCAATTACTAATCCTCCCTCAGCTACTCTTTGCCCTGATATGGAGGCAGCTGAAAAAAGATGCCCTACTAACAAATCAAAAATGGATCCAATGCTCAATTACGAGATCTTTTAGATTTGAGATGAGGAATAAACAGAGTGACCCACAACAGTGCTACAGCTGACATGTTTTTCAAGAAATATTTGAGAGTTTAAAGCAAGGGAAGTCATTTTTGTGATTAAATTTAGATACATTTCAATTATAGAAAACTCAAATTCTGAATTTAATTTTTATTCACTGAAACCTTTAAACATGTTCAGATACGTTTTCAAATATCAAGAATAATGTACTTCCGCCCCGCCGATGTGGCTCAGTGGTTGAGCATCACCCAGGAACCGGGAGGTCATGCTTTGACTCCAGGCCAGGGCACATGCCCAGGTTGTGGGCTTGGGCTCCAGCAGGGGACGTGCAGGAGACAGCCGATCCACGATTCTCTCTCATCATTGATGTTTCTAGCTCTCTTTTCCTCTCCCTTCCTCTCTGAATTCAATAAAAAAATATATTTTTAAAAAGAAAAGTGTACTTCAGAATTGTTTTCATATTGATAGCAGTCTTCTATTTCTTTCAAACTTGATTCGTATCTTTAAATTCTGCAATAATCACTTGTTAAAAGTAGGAGCAAAAAAAAAAAACTAAGCAGAAAACAACAATCTACTGGCTTATGTTTCAGTTCTCTCTCAGTTGACTTGGTCTATATATAGCAAAAAGATTACATAAGGTCAAGTATTATAAACAATGAAATGTCACCTGATGTTTTGCAAAACACCATAGGAAAAAGAACTCAAGGAATGAATGGAGAGTAAGATCTCCAACTGTAAGCAAGAAAAACGGCTTGAACATTCTAGCTTAAACGCACCTTATTGGGAATTTGACTTTTAAAATTTGATTTCCCATTTGAATTGTGTAAAAGATATGATACTGATAACCGTCTTCTGTATGAATTATAACAAATTTAGGCAAGAGATGCTTTCCTCTCATCTCCAACACAGAAGAATGAAGAGCCCTTCGTAATAACTGAGTCACTGTTTCGTGTTTTTAATTTTCAAGAGCAGGAATGTCTCAAGCCCCCCTGCCCCATCATCCCCACAGTAACATATGAATGAATACATGCCCGTAGGGACACACGTGCTTTTGAATGGAAAAAAACACCTCACTGTAACGACCTCCCACTCCAAAACCCGAACTCCTGACCCCGCCCCACGTGAACCCCCATCTCCACCCCACCCCGCCCGGTTTCCCCGGCTGCGGGTCCGGAGTTGGCGCAGTTACATGACGTCAGGCGTCGCCGCCGAAGCCGCCTACGTGCAGCTGCCATCCCTGCCTCTGGGAGTTGAAGTTTCCGAAGGAGGCCTCGTGAGGGTACCAAGACCACTCCAGAAGGGCTTTCTGCGCGTGCTCTCAGGTTCCCCGGAAACCCCTCGGCTCGGTAAGTCCCCGGGAGCTGAGGCTCGCGCCCGCCTACCCTTCGGTTCCTCCGGCCACAAAAAGGGCGCTCAGCCAAAGCCGCCCTCGGTTAGCAACGAGGGCTTCCGGGAAAGAGGGAAGCGGGCCTGTGGGCGTGGCAGCCGGGACCCCGGTCCCGAAGGAAGTGACGTCAGGTAGCGCGCGTCCCCCCCCCCGGGGCTCTCCAAGAAGCTCCCTGATTGGGTGGTTTCAACTGAGTCCCGCCTCTGGCGTGCGTCGGCCGGCGCGTGGCCTGGCGGAGCGAGGCACCGCCCTCCGCGGTGGGTCTCCTGCTGTGGACAACTATCTGGGGGTCGGGATCCAGTCCCTAGTTTGCGAAGAGTGTGAGTGTCCGGAGAACGAAGGGAGGGGAAGCCTGCAGCCGGAAGGGCCGGGCAACTAGCTGTGGTTTTGCCCCTGGTGCCCAGAGACCGTGGGCAAGTCGCTGTACCTCGTGAACCCTCATCTCGTTTCTCCAGCGAGAGGCCGACCTGGCAGAGCTCTGCGTTTAGGGACCCCGTGCAAGTGGCTGCAGGTGCTTTTAGGCCCCATCGTGGGGAGCTCAGGGCGGTTTTAAGAAGATCGAGGTGTTACTTGATTACACGGAAATATTATTTTAAGTGTTAGAATTCGGGCATATTTGTAAAGATAGCGGAGAGCAACCGATGGTTTTCTCACTTTTTGTTTTTTAAATCTCCCTCTCTCCCCATCCCGGCCCAAGATCCGAGCGCGTTTGTTATGCAGACGTGGGCGGCGCGGTTTAAAAAGGCCATTCCTTCCCTCTCCCCGTCAGGTCAGTTGATGCCATTCTGCAGCTATTTCAGCGTTTGTTGGGATCCTTCTGGAAGGGAGTCTGTCATAATTTATGAAGACTTTACTAGTATTTTAGCCCAATCAATAAAATCCATGAAAGTTTTTTGTTTTCTTTAACTTTTCTTGGGCCATTCACTCCCCCCCCCATGTGTTCTTCCTGCCGAAATATGTATTAAGAAGTGGAAATAAAAGAAATAATGAAACACTTTATTATGTATTCATCCCACATCAAATAGCCTTAGTCATATTTATACCGTTCTTAGCTTTATAAGACCACAACCTATTTCTGTGACTAAATTAACCATTTTTTTTTTAAAAAAATTCTATGCTAAACAGAATTTCACACAAATGTTTCTATAATTGCTACAGAATCCCGTTCTGAAATATTTGCGGCACAGGGTTGGATGAATGAATATGTACTGCATGTGAAGCAGGAATGCAAAGCTCTGCCACGGAGCTTATAAACTGGACAAAACCGAAATAGGAAAGCAGGCATACCTGGTAAACATCGCACATGTATTTTGCTTGATATGTAATCTGAACAAGCTAGTGCATAGGAACTGCTTGTTGCAGGTACAGAGAGTGGGAAATGGCACGTGTCCTTGTATGTACAGTGTGCTGTAAACAATAACACGGAGGATCGCCAGCTAACGTTTTTGTTGTATCTAGCTTATTCAGATCTTTAGGAAAATTCACTTTCTGCAGTGCATTTTCTTAATTGGGAAGAGCTTTAGAAATGGTAATGATGTTGACTAGTGTGTGATCTTGCTATGTGTTGGACAGGGTGTTTAAAAATGTTGCTATGCAGTGATGGGCCAAGTTACATTTAACGCAAACTTCTTAGATGGGAAAGGCAAAAGGCTCCCCCTGGTGTACCTGAGCTGTAAAATGTTGCTATAAAATTGCTTTTTAAAATTTTCATATTATAGAGCCAATCAACACTTGCAGTTCTTTAATATAATAGAGAACTATAGCAAAAAACTATGCCAATGGTAACAGAAATAGTCTCTCTTAAAATATTGTTTCATGAAGAGAGTAATTTGTTTCCTGTGAATTTTAATTGTGCTTTTAAGTTTGCATGTTTAGCTTAATGGACAGGTTTAACTTATGCTTTCTCCATCCTATGTTGTTTTGGATACATGCCTTACTGACTTTAATGTAGTATCTATGGAAAGGAAGTAAAACAAAAGTGATCCTGGGGATCACAGTATTTATTTTAAAAATTTCTCCTAATGTTGTCAGGCTTATTGAGTTTCCTCTGTCTCTCTGTTCTTAAATTGAATCCTTACTTTATTTTCCAGCTTTTTAAAAATTATTAATGAATACACTCAAGGTTATACATTTATCTCTACCTTTTTGCTTCCATTTCTCATTCTATAATCCATGTCTTTTAACAGCTCTGAGATATATATATGTCTATCTATATCTGTATCTATATCTATCTATCTATCTATCTATCTATATATCTATATATCTCATTCTATATATCTGTCTGAATTCTCAGTCAGATGGTCAGGATGTCTTCTAATCCATCAGTTACCTCTTGGGCTACAGGTAATCTGGAGTTTATCTCACTTGTTGAAATTTTTATATCTTCACTCGCTGGTTTCCAAATGGGTTCTTTTTCATGTATTCTTATTTCATGTATTCTTTTGTGCCAGCTTGTGTGTCCCAATTTCCTGTTTTGTGTTTATGGTTCTTACTCCTTATAGTCTCTGAAAGATTCCAACCACTTATTTTAAAGTCATTTTCATATCACCCTATTATTTCCAGTTTATATGGAATGAATTTATCTCCTGATTGTTGCTTTTGTTGTTTCTATTTTTACCTTTTCTTTTTGTAATTTTGCATGGAGTTAGCATCTCCTCTCTGCAAACCAACCGTCTGGTACTGACCTTGCGGTCGCTCCCACTCCTGGCCCCGGTTCAGTGCTTCGGCCCACAGTAGACTTTGTATAGGTGACTCAGAATTCTAATCATGTGGTGTCATAAGTTCATACATTGCCTCAGGGGCTTGGCCCCGAGGCTGTTTCCGCTTCCTTCAAGTTTCCCTCAAGTTCTCAGCTTCTAAAAGCAAGTCTGATTTTACCCATTTTCAGCCTTTTTCATGAGGAAGCCCCACCTCCCACAATAGGTTAAGGGTTCATCTTAAACGGTCTCCCATCTCTCCCACCTTCTGTCTTGGGTTATTATAATTCTCCCTACTTTAAATCTAGGGAAACTTCCAATTGCCTTTGCACAGCAGACCCAACAGAAACTGTTCTAGATCTTGTTTGGTTCTTGTTTTGGCTATACCTTTTTTGTTTTTCCCTTTGTATCTTTTATTTAGTATTGTCATGTATTTCAAGTCAGGGTGCCTTAAAACATGAACTTTTGGCTATCTTCTCTAGGAAGTCTGTCCTAATTTTTTTATTTGGTAGCATATGAATGAAGCTGTTTTTCCTCCTTTCAGTGACACAAATCTCAGAGCCCTCCAACAGCAGGGTTGAAGCGGCATAGCTCTTTTACATTTTCTGAAAATCCTTATTTTCTAAATAACATTTTGGATTCCTGGAAAATAGAGTTAGATCTGTGTTTGACTCAACCCTATTACTTCATTTATCTATTCATTCAACAAGTGTTTTGAGGACCCACTTTGTGCTAAATTTGTTCTAGCTGCCTTGTTTCTTAGGAATTTATTTAGTTTTGCAATTTGGGGCAAGCTATTTAACCTCAACTGTGCTTTCTTTATAAAGTAGGCATAACACTTGTCTACCTCATAGGGTTGGTTTTAAGGATTAAATTAGATACTTTTTAAATTAAGCACTGTAAGAATTGTTTGCTCTTACTGTTTTCATTATTTTAAAAAATCCTTTGTAATAATACCATAGTCACTCATTTATTTATTTCACCAATATATAATAAACAGCTTAGTGCCAGGCACCATGTTAGTATTGGCAATATAATGTGAGGCAAAAGTAGACATCATCCCTACCCATATGGAGTTTTCCGTGTAGAATCAAACTTGAGTTGTCATATCTAGCAGGTGTGCCTGTAAACTAAGGATACGGTTTGGTTAGTGGTTTAAGGAAAACTTGTGAACTCTTACTTGGATTACTAGATGATTCTTTTTCCTTTTTAGTAATTTTGTGACCTAGTAAAATACCAGGGTTTTTGCTGTAGCTCCCAAAGCACAGCTTAAAATTTCTTATCTCGCAGTCAAAATTTGGTAAACTTTCCAAGTTTGCTTAGCTATCCCTGTATGTCCTGTTATAACATTGTACTTTTAAAGAAAGCAAGAACCATATAACAAAACTACTGCTCAAATTATGTTCTGCAAAGGTTTTGTCCTTTCATTTTCTGAGTTGTGTGGATTTTTCTTTTAGATGTTACCTTCTCTGCACAGACTTCTTAGCTATTTCTATAAGTAGAAGAAGTCATATAATTTTCTTTAAGGTCGTTAGAACATTTGCAAGCTTCATGCTTAGTCTTTGGTAGGGATAAATAATAAATACATTTTTAAGCTTTGGTGTTAAAAATCTGTTAAAGAAAAATCTCAGTATTTTTAGCTTTTTTCCCCTAATGTGAAGGGAAGTTCAGTTCTGGGTAATAGACATAAAGATTTGGGTGGCTAAATCTAAATGAAGATGTTTGAGATGGCCCTAAGTATTCTACAGCTGATTTCAGAATCAACTTAAATATTTTGTTTCTTAGCCATGACTAAAGTGGAATATTTACAATTACATATTGATAATGAAATATATGGAGGTGGGGCAACCAGATTTGTTTTCCGCACTATCCAAACTACACAGATCTATAGCATATCTTTTGTCAAAAACTAATTATGAGTGTATATCTCCAGTCCTAGTTAGGGTGTGTGCGGGAGGCAGCCAGTTGATGTGTCTCACATTGATGTTTCTCTCTCTTTTCCTCACCCCCTCCCTCCGTTTCACTCTTTAAAATTCACTGGGAAAATATCCTCGGATGAGGATTAACAAAAGATATTTTTTAAGTGCTTAATATTTTTATATTATAAAACAACTAGAAGCCCGGTGCACAAAAATTTGTGCAAATATTTTTTAAGTGGTTAATATTTTTATATTATAAAACAATATATTCTCATTTTAGAAAATGCAGAATATCATGGGTAAGAATCATTTTTGTGTGTATGCTTTTTAAAACAAAATTGGATAAAATGTATATATTTCTTGTTTTGATTTTCTTATCTAACATAACCATTTTTCTTTATCACTAAATAATTTTGGGAAACATTATTTTTACTGGCCATTTAGTATTCCAAGCCCCTGTCATGGATAAGTTATAATTTATTTAATCCCTTTTGCTGACATTCAAGTAGTTTTTAATTTTTCATTGTTGAAAATAACACTGTAGTATATACAAACCACTGTTTTGATTTCCGTGGTTTCCATTACCTGTGATCAACCAGCCTAAAAATATTAAATGGAAAATTCCAGAATTAAACAATTCGTAAGTTTGAAATTTCACAGTTCTGAGTAGTGTGATGAAATCTAAGGCCATCTCGCTCCATCCCACCCGGGATGTGAATCATCCCTTTGTCCAACGTATTTGCTGTATACTCTGCCCAACCATTAGTCACTTAACCATCTCAGTTATCAGAGAGAGAAACCATACTTACATAACTTTTATTATGCTACATTATAAAATTTTTCTATTGTTAATCTCATTATATAAAATTTTTAAAATGCTAATATTTATAATATAAACATACTTATAAATTAATTTTAATATTTTTACTATGATTATAATTATAAATTAAACTATTATATGTTTGTTTAGGAAAAAACATAGTATATAAAGGGTTCAGTATTATCCACCTTTTTGGGCATCCACTGGGGATCTTAGAATGTATCCACTGAAGATAAGAGGGGACTACTGCATACCCTTTTGCATTTTGTGTATATTTCTGATTCATTTACAGGAATTTATTCTAAGGAAGTAAATTACTGAGTGAAGTGTATTAGTATTTTAAAGCTCTTGAAACATAAATCTGTGTTGCCTTCTGGAAAAATTGTGCCATGAAAGCACCCCATTTCATTACATGGTCTTTGTCAGTAAATAACATTTAATTGTATAAATTTTTATTTTAAAAAAAATCCTTGGGTGAGGACATGTTTATTGATTTTTAGAGAGCGAGGAAGAGATAGATAGATAGATAGATAGATAGATTGATAGATAATAGATGATAGATGAGAGAGAGAGAGAGAGAGAGAGACATTGATTGGTTGCCTCTTGTACACTCTGACTGGGATAGAACCCACAACCTAGGTGCCTAGGTATGTGCCCTAACCGGAATGGAACCTGCAGCCTTTGGGTGTACGGAACAATGCTCCAACCAACTGAGCCATCCAGCCAGGGCTAAATTTTTATTTTTATTCATTTCTCAAGTGGTTTAATTTTAATCACATCTATTGGTTATTTGGTGTTTACTTTTCTGTGTGTGAATCATCTATGTCAAAATTGCTTTTCAATTTTTCAGAGGCATCAAATAATGTCATCTGAAATGGTGCCAGCAATTATTGAGACTTCTAATGTTGAAAGAAAGCAAGACTTAAGTGAAGATCAAGAGGAAAGTCAGAAGCCAAGATTAGATGAAGAGTTTGAACCAATATCTAAACGACAAATGAAAAAGCTAATAAAACAGAAACAATGGGAAGAACAACGAGAACTCCGCAAGTATGTTTCAAAATGCATTCTCCCCTATTCAAAAATATGGAATGTTGGGCCTTTCATGGTCATTTGACACATTAAAAGTAATTGTGTTAATTAAAATTGGGACTATGCATATTGTTAGCTAACACTGTCAATTGGCTGTTAAAACTATGTTTTGAATTTCTCTTTAGCAGTGTTTATGAATTTACACTGCACACTTTTTCTCATCCAAAATCTATTGTGAGTAGCAGCACAATTTCTGAAATAACCAACTTAGGAAGGGGATATAATTAGCATCCATGTCCTAGATATGGAACAAAAATAACCTCCTCAGAAAGATCAAATTTAGGCCTAACATTGATTTTTCTAGAAGAACTATTGCAGATTTTGAGAACAGTTAGGTTGAAGCTGTCATTAAACAGGGGTGGGCAAAAGTAGGCTTATAGTTGTGAGTATACGGAACAGTTTATTCTTGTATTACTATTTGTTGTGTTTTTTTGTATTGCAGTAGTAAACCTACTTTTGCCCACCCCTGTATAATGCCAAAAGTTACTGAGAGAAAATAAACTATAGTTGATGCAGATTAGAGAAAAAAAATATATGAGATTTTTTTTCACTAACAATTTTACTTTGCCTTTTTTCTACACCATATAAATGTTGCTTAAAAATCATATAGGGGAAGAATGATACAAGTGAAACATATCACAGCTCTCAAATTAAGTATTTGTAAAGTTTTCTTATAATATGATACCAATAATAAATGAGTTTATTAGTAGTATAGTAAGGATTTGTGTAAAAAGCATTATACTGTTTTTACAAACCCATTTTCTTCCTTTCTAAAATTTTTAGATGGACTGTGTAAAATTGCTGATATCTGACCAATTTTGGTCCACAAAAGTGGCAGTTTCATATGGTTTAGCCTGCTGATGTAAAAAAGTAATGTTTCTTTATCTATTTAGAGGAGTCTTGTATGTGAATCTATAAATAACACCAAAAAGTTATTTCAATACTGATTTTAGACAAAAGAGGAAGGAAAAACGCAAGAGAAAACAATTGGAGCGGCAGTGTCAACTGGAATCAAACTCAGATGGAAATGATAGAAAACGTATTCGAAGAGATGTTGTTCACAGCACACTTCGCCTTATCATTGACTGTAGTTTTGACAGCTTGATGGTATTAAAGGTATGAATCATTGTCAGAAAAACCCTGTAGGTAAACTAGGCTGAGTAATTCTTACTTTAATTTGTTATATCGCTTTGATATAAATTTATGTACTAAAATGCATCTTAAATCAAGTTTTCCAAGCTCTGTGACCCCTAAATTAAAAGAGCTAATAAATTCCTCTTATGTATATGTGTGTGTGTTGACAGGAGAGACAAACACCATGATTAGATTATAAAACTCAGTAACTGCATATTGATCATAAAGATCTGTGAGTGGTTTTCTTTGTCCTGATCACAATTAAGAAAATAAGAAGTATGATTGTCTTAATAGAATTATTTCTTATTTAATAGTTTGAGAAGCCTGGTTATTTAAACAATGCTAGTGAAGAGAAGATACTTTAATTACTTTCCAAGCCATTGGTAAGTTATAAAAATAGTAATAGTATGGCTGTAAGAGAATTTAAGTAGAGTAAATTTTTTCATGAACTAGCATTTTAAGTAGATGCAGAATATGAAATAATAGTTCACTTGCAGAGTGTTGACTTATAGTAATTTTGTTAGTTATGTAAGGAAATTGAATGGAAATTATCAGAAAGGACTTCTATTTCAAAAGAAAAAAATGTACCTGTCTAGTTATTTCTTCTGCTTATTCTGTTCCACTAAGATTGTGGAATGGCCATAGGTGATTTTGAAAACGATGCTTTAAAAATTGTACTCTTTTTTAGGACATTAAGAAACTTCATAAGCAGATTCAACGATGTTATGCAGAAAATCGACGAGCACTGCATCCTGTGCAGGTATGTTTGAGAGATTTAAAACAGACTCCAATTTCCTTTCTTATATTTCCCTTGGGAAATGGCATAGATAATCCTGCCGGCCTTTACAAGAGTCTTACAGATAATCCTTCTTCGAGAACAAAATGCCTATTTGAAACATGTTTTCTACAAAGATAAAGTAAAATATTTTAAACAGTTTTTCACATATTTCGTTCTCAGACACACTGCCCAGTTATCATCAGTCTGGTCCACACTGACCTGCTCATTTCTGTGTAGTTGAACATCTTCACTGAAGGATATACACATATTTTCATACTAGTTTCTTAGCTCTCATTCCTTCTGTTCTGGAGAGTAGGGGGAACTGATGTGTGCTGTGTTACCTGTTGGTAGGTTTATTCTACTTAAAAGATTCTGAGTCACTGATAATTTTGAAAAGTACTTTCTTAGCTAGAGTGAGGGAGTGCTTTGTGAGACTAGCTGCCTGCTGTCAAGAGGTGCCTGCTGTTTGAAATCTCGGTGACCTAAAATTAATACTGGCTCACTAAGGTTGAGAACTAGAAATTCTTAATAAATGTTTGGTTAGATATTTTCTTCTTATCAAGTGATAGTAATTTTATATTTTTACATTTTATATTCTTCACATCTTTGCTTAGAGTTGAAATAGTGTCAGGTTTTAGAATCAAAGAATTACGGAGACTTGGGACTGGTAAAAAATAACAGTGGTGGCAAAAGAAAGGGAAAGGAAACTTGACATGGGAGTGGGGAGTTTGTAGGAAAGTATCATTAAGGGAAAGGCTGATTATGGGTGCTTGGAAAAATGGGATGAAAATGTAGATGCCATAAGGAAGTTGTGGTAGAAATGACACAAAACATGTCATTTCTACCACAAATTTATTCTTGTATGTTTAAAGCATGCCACAAATTTATTTTTTTCTAGAATGAAAATATATTGTGTTTCATTGACAATCAGATTAATATATGAGAGAAATAAAATATTGCACTTTAATAGTCATTTGCTCTCTCTTCCCTTGCTGATGACTCTATCAGTTTTACTTGACAAGCCATGGAGGCCAGTTGAAAAAGAACATGGATGAAAATGACAAAGGATGGGTCAACTGGAAGGTAACTACAGTAGATTAACTCTCCCATAATTTCAAGTAGTTTTAAGCTTAAAGGTCTACATTTTTTACCCAAATTCTACATAATGTTAATAAATACAGGAGTCACTGTACCTAAGTTTAAGGGAATAAGGGAAGCTAAAAAGACTGCGATGTCTGTTTGTACTTGCTCCCATTAAATCTCACTTCTATTTTGCCCCCAACTTTAAAACATATTTTTAAGAAGGAAAAATTTTAAAGGCGTTTATTCAATCTCTACCTAGCAAACTGGCGTTGCATTATTTGTAAGAGTGAAGTCACTCTAAAATTTGAAAATATACTTGCACTGTTGCTTCTAAATCTGTGCTCTCCCATGTCCACATGGCTATTGAATTCTTGAAATGTGACTGGTCTAAATTGAGTTGTGCTATAAATGTGAAGTATATATTGGATTTCAAAGATTTAGTGCCTATCCCCCCAAAAAGAATGTAAAATATCTCCTTGAAATTTTAAAAAAGATTATATGTCGAAATGATAACATTTTGGGTATATTATGTTGAATGCAATGTATTAGTAAAATTAATTTCACTTATTTCTTTTCACTTTTTTTAATGTGGCCACAGGTAGATTTAAAATTACATATGTGGCTCACATTTTTTATAGGACTAAACCATTCTCAGTCATTTGCAAAAATGACTAATAGATTGGCTTTAGTACCAATTCATGAGGAATCCTATTCAGAGAAGTACTGGGTTATTCTTGTATTTTTTTTCCTTTCTCAAAGCCAGTTCTCACCATGACAAACTTTTCCTCTTACACTCTCTAATCCCATAATGACTGCATTTATTTTATTAATAGCCTATAGTGTAAACATTTTTAAAGGCTTTTTAAAGTTTTAAGTACAATATGTTTACCAAGTTTTATTATCTGTCCTATTTTCCTGAGAAATAATGTAATCAGTTAGAGAAGGCATACTTTCAGTTATTTTGTGGCTTGTTAAATTTATTGTTTATACCACCAGCTTTCCAGAAAAACATAAGTTCATCGTTCTTTAATTTCAAGTCCCTCTTGGGGCGCAGATTAACTATAGGACCCAAATTTATAATAAAACATTTTTAGAAAGGTGATTGCTTATTAATCAACTAGAGGCCTGGTGCACGAAATTGGTGCACTTGGGGGTAGGGAGGCCCCTCAGCCCAGCCTGTGCCCTCTCGCAGTCCAGGAGCCCTCGGGGGATGTCTGACTGATGGCTTAGGCCTGCTCCCCATGGTCCTAAGCCAGCAGTCGGACATCCTTAGTGCTGCCATGGAGGCGGGAGGGCTCCAGGGTGTGTCTGGCCCATCTCTCTCAGTCCCGATCGGCTGGACCCCAGCAGCAAGCTAACCTACCATTTGGAGCGTCTGCTCCCTGGTGGTCAGTACACATCATAGCGACTGCTTGACTGCCCCCTGGTGGTCAGTGCACATCATAGCGAGCAGTTGAGTGGCCTTAGCATATCATTAGCATATTACTCTTTGATTGGTTGAATGGATGACCGGACACTTAGCGTATTAGGCTTTTATTATATAGGATAGGTTATACATTTTAGGTGAGACAAGTTCTGCTTCATTTTTTATTTCCTTAAAGGTTGAATGTCTGGTTGAATGTCATCTGAATCTGATGATATATTTTCTTTTATGCTATCAATATAATTTGCAAAATTCTGACTGCCAACTGGTGTTCAGTTTTGTACCTCTGATCTAACAGTTTTGATGAAGATGATTTTATAGGTGTATCGTTGTAGAAACGGATTCATGGACTTTATTAAATCTACAAGCACTTTCTTTTGATGATTTGTATAGACAGAGAAGAAATAATTGGAGAAAACCAGGAAATAATGTGAGCAAATATGTGACAAAATGCTTTTGTTTTGTTGGAGCAGAGATAAACTTAGAAAGGGTAGGTTAGTGCCACATTCAGGAAAGAGTTACTAAGGAATTTCAGTTTTATCTTATAGATGAAAATAAAACATGAAAAGTAGTGTTTTTAGAAAATGAGTCTACCGTTAGTGTGTGGAAGTAAATTGGAGGGATCTGAGGCTAAAGACAGGAAAATAGCATCAGGAGGCCACTTAAATAATTGAGGTGTGAGGTGACAAGGAATTTAAGTAGTAGGTTATAAATGATGCATTGCAGCATTCTTTCAGAATTCTTTTCATATGATTTACTTCCTTTCAAATTGATTATTAGCCAATTTTCACAAAATCCTATTAATCACATCTGTCCCCATGTGTCTTAAAGGATATCCACATTAAACCAGAACACTATATTGAATTCATAAAGAAAGAAGATCTGATTTATCTTACATCAGATTCACCTAATGTACTGAAGGAATTAGATGAATCAAAGGCTTATGTGATTGGAGGATTAGTAGATCACAACCATCAAAAGGTACTAAGTTTTTATTTTCGCTTTTGCTTGTACTTAAAATTGATATATCAATTTTCTTAATACTAACAATAATACTTTTTGATAGGAGCAATAATACTGGTGATAGCTGATCTCTACTGAGTGCCAGCTATATTTCAATCACCTTTTTGGCTAAGCAAAACATTTCACATACAAGATTGGGCAAATGTAGGTTTATAGTTGTTCATATGGAAAATAATACACTAATTAATAAATAATAATATAAGAATAAACTCTGTGTTTCACATACTCACAACTATAAACCTACTTTTGCCCCCCCTGTACATTACTATGATTAATCCTCACTTATAAACCAGTGAGGTCAGTGCTGATATTCTCTGCATTTTAAAGCTGAGGAAATGGAAGCCTAAAGAAAATAAGTCTAAAATGAATAGTAGTAGGTAGTAAAGCAGATATTTGAAACCTGATAAATTGTTCTGGAGCCCAGATGCTCAAACAATATGCTGTATTGATAGAAGATGCTGCTATTAATCAATTTCTAGGCCACTGGTAAAATTTATAACAAAACTGATCATTTTTATTTTAAATACGTGATTTTCATGGGATGTGTTTTCTGTTCTCTTTTATTTCTACTTTTGTCTCTTTCCACCTCCTCATCCTCATTTGAATGAAAAATTACAGAAGTACACTTTCTAAGAGAAAATATCATTTTGTACTTTGCCAGCTACTTAGCAACATGCTAAATTCAACCCAACTAAAGAAAAAGCATGTTTACTAAGTGTCTGAGGAAATACTGTCATCAGAATAATACAAATTCAGTATTCTTATGTAGCACCACTGTGCAGTAGAACTTTTTCTAATGTTGGAAATACTTATATCATTCTGTCCAGTGTGGTAGTCCTGTGGCTATTGAACACATGAAATGTGTATAGTATAATTGAGAACAGAATATTTTAAAATTGTAACAATTTAAACTTAAATAGTCACATGTGGCTCTTATTGGACAGTGCATCTCTATAGCATCAGAGGGAATTTTATCAGAATGACCTTTAGCCTTTTTGTTGTTTTCTTAGTGGAAATATTCTATTTTGTTACTTATATAAAACCAAATTTTTATCTTTCATGTTGTATGTGTTTTTGAACTAAAACAATTTTGTTTTCAAAAGCATCTGCCTCAATCATTATTATTTGTCCCTAAAACATGCAATCTACTGGTTGAGAAATTTAGTTCTTCCTTCTCTGTACTATCTTTTGGCTATTTCAGTTCTGGTTAGACCTAGGCTTTAAGGATTTTAATTTTGAGAAGAAAGAAAATTCATATTCAATATTCTTTTAATTGACAGAAGGGAAAAATTAAATTTATAGGCAATTAAAAATTTTTTTCAATTCAGCTTTTTATAGAATTTGTTTTGGTTATTTGTGCCTCCTAGTGTTATGTAATTGAAACATAATTTTATCTGTATGTCTTTTGTATTCATGGAAAGAGTGATGGTGCTTCTCTAGGAGTTCTGATTGAGTATTTTAAACTCTAAGAGAAAGGTGGGATGGAACGGTGAAAAGGTATTTGAATCAGGAGGCATAAGGCAAGTTTTTCCTATGGTTCTGCCACTTAGGAGCTTTGTGGCAGAGCAAGGAACATGTCTTTGGTTTCCTCACTTGTAAATTGGTTAAAACAAAAGGCCTAAACATTCCGACTATCCTTATTGTCAAGAGAATATTTCCAAATTAGCAGTCAAACACAGACATACACACACTCACTTCAGATAATGTTCTCTGAACTAAAGTCTTTCTTAAAAATTATTAATTTGTTGTAGACTTTAAAGTAATTTAATGTTCTAGTCCAAGTTATAGTGTCTTTGTTTTAGGGACTCACATATAAACAAGCATCAGATCATGGAATTGATCATGCACAGCTACCCCTTGGAAATTTTGTGAAGATGAATAGTAGAAAAGTTTTGGCAATTAATCATGGTAAGCTATAAGGAGATAAAGTGAAAATGTACCTGAGTGAACATTGTGAAAATATAAAATATACACCTTGCTAGAAACAAAATTATAAAAGGTAATGATTTATAATTTGTTTGAATATAGAAATAATACATGCATATTTTATAAAATTTTGAAAATACAGAAAAACATAAAAATAAATAACCTATAATTTCACTACCCAGAGATACTTGGTATTAACTTTTTGGTGTGTTTACTTCCAGTTCCTTCCCTATGCATATATAATACTATTTATAACATAATTGGATTCTTACTCCATTACATAAAATATTGTAAATCTGGGTGTTTTCCCTCATTTATAGTTATACCAGAGGCCTGGTGCACGAAATTCGTGCACGGGGTGTGTGTGTGTGTGTGTGTGTGTGTGTGTGTGTGT